CATGGTGATGGACTCAGGGGTTCACTGTCTCCTACAGTGAATTCGGCTAGGCCTTGTAGCAGAGACTGGGCTGAACCCATGTGGCTGATGTGTAGATCAATGTTTGGGTCTCACGCCATACAAGGAGAACCAACTGGGCAGCAAATTAAGAGGATAAGTGAGCACATAGACTTAATGGGCCTAAAGCTCAATTTGAATTGGCTTAATAAGATTAATTAAATAGGGGCGAATTTGAGATTTGGATCAGCAAATAGGATAAGGGATTATCCTATCCCTTATCCACTTAAAGAGTCTATATCCAAATAAAGATTTGGATCAAAGGAACTCCTAATTTGATTAGGAAGACTGATCTTTATCTGCAGATAAGATAAGGGATTATCCTTATCTCTTAAAGAGAGTCCAGATCAAAATAAAAGATTTGGATTAGGAAACTCCTAATGGGATTAGGAGATCCTCTCTTTAAGGCTATAAATAGAAGAGCAGGGCGAACCTCCAAAGACACAACAACAAAACAGAGTTCAGAGTTCGCAGATCACAGAGAGACTTTACAGTTTGACTGCTCTTGTCCTCTGCTCTTTTCTTTCCTGCTCTTGCCGCCCCTACCCAGTTCGATCTCCACTAGTGGGAGTGATCAAGAACGGTTCTTGATATTGCTTTTTGCTAGAAGAGGCAATCTGAAGTCGTGCTCACCAGTCCTCCATCATATTCTTGCTGAAGAATTCGGTTCTTGCTGAAGAGCCGTCCTGCTGATTCTGCTTCACCTATACTGTGTCATATTCGGTGGAAGCAGTCTTTGGTCTTCTCCTTGGGTGGGAACACTTTCGTTGGGGGTTACTGTTACTCCATATTAGGTATATCCCTCTCCTTCCTTTTGGTTTAAGTTCTGGTCTGGTTTGGTTTCAAGATTGATCCTTGAAAATGCAGTTTTCTAAAATAGGGAATGCGATTCCCACATGGGAGAGAAATTTTTGAAATTTCGCCCAACCTTCCTGTAGGGTTTGGTCATGCATATGATGGATCTCTCATCCCTTCAGTGGTATCAGATCCAGGTTCAAATCTTGAACCGAATTAAGCCAGATCTGGATTTGCGCAAAGGGTAGAAGGCGTTCTACCCGATTTGCGCAGTTAATGTTTTTCCGGGAAATCGGTTCCCAGTTTTTGGGTAGTTGATTTGATTAATATTTAGAACTGTTCTATATATTTTTCTTGATTTTTGGGTTGTTCGTATGGTGGAGATCGAATTCTTTAATGGTACAAGAATCTGCGCACCTGCTATTCTATTCATTCATGGTCTATAATTAATTATTTTTAATTTTTAGATGGAATGTATAGGATTTAAATCTGATGTAATATTAATAGAAAATAGGTTTTCTATTTTATTTCATTCGAAGATGAAGTAGAAAGTGCAAAGGAGAGATTTTCGTAGATTTGGGTTCAACCATCTGTGATTTGCAGTTTTGGAAATTGCATACTGCGAACTAACCTTTGTTTTGTAGGGTAGCAGACTTACGAACTGCCCTCCTACTGATTCTTGATTGTCTTGTATCAGTTATTTAATTTCAGATCATTATCTTGAAATTAAACATCAAATCCTAGACCCATTCGAACCAGATTGGACCAAATTGGTTGGACTGAATCTGTGGTTCGATGGAGGCTGTTCTCAGCCCTAAATTTTTCCACATGGGCCGAGGGATTGATGGTTAATTGCAAGATGCAATTCGGCCCACAGTTGTAAAACCCAGTTTTAATCTGTTAAAACTGCTTTAAGCCCAAATCAACACAAGCTATATGGGCCCAATTGCTCTTTGCAGTTCGGCCCATATACCTAGATAATATTAATTGGTAATATTATGAAATTATATGGGTTTTAATTATGGGTTCTACAGTTATTTAATTGATTGGATCAATTATGGATTTCATGCATGTGATGTATGGATGTGTGATGTGCTACGTTCATGGGCCATAAGCACTTGGCCTATGCAGATTCGATAAGTGGCTCTTACGCACACCATGGCTGAATGCACATCATTGCCATGGTGTCCTTAAGATCATTGGATGATCTCCCTTCATGGTGGGCCCCACACCAGTTTCCTCCCCAAGAGGAACCGTGCAGATCCCTAGCCGTTTAGGGCCCATCTAAATCTGGCTTTGAGAAAGTCAATGGGAGCCACTTTGGTTAGACCTAAATAAAACTATGGCATAATATTTCGTTCCCTCCATTGGAATATGAGTGCATATGATAGCGAGATTCATGTGATGAACTCTCTAAAGGCCTTCCATCATTAACATGAAGATGGGTCYTTYARTAWTGAGRAAAYRCACCATAAAATTGGGCTATCCATTTGCTGCTGGATCTGTTGGATTGTTTCATAAGATGATAGGGGCATCATAGACCGATGTGGGAGGGGCCTATCCTAAAATGGAAGACTCTCACGGTACCTTGGCGTTCACGAATATGATGAGTGAGCACTCACTGGATAGAAATGTTTAACCTAAAATGACAATGAACCTTGTCTGACAGAGGCCAAAGGGAAAGTTTATAAGATGAGTGGATATGATCCTTCACAGAAGGTGGTGGGGTTATGCAGCTGAAACAGTTGGCTCCATGCACCCTATGTGATTTCCTACATTTCCAAAGACATAATTCGCAATCTCCGTCACTGAGATAGGAGGGAAATCTCAAAGATGAATAAATGGAAATTGAGCATAGATTAAAAGCCATATCTATGTAGATAACATGAATCAAATACGGTTGTGGATTAATATTTTCTTTGCCCTTTATCAGAAATGGCAAACGGACAATTCGCTAAACTGTTGGACGACAACAAGCTTAAGGGCTCAAATTACGTTGACTGGTATTGTAACCTTATGTTGGTCCTAACGTCTGAGAAATTGGACAAGGTAGCTAAGAACCCTGCTCCGGATCGTCCGGGTGATAGGGCTTCTGAGGCCCACAGGAGGGACTATCAAGAATGGGAGGAGAAAAATTCTCTTGCCTGGTGCTATATCATAGCCTCCTTAGATAATCAGATACAGCGACAATTCGATCAGATCAAATTGTTCAAGGATATTTTGGATAGTTTAAGGACAATGTATGAGGAGCAGAATTGTTTTACTCGTCAGAAGGTCCTGAGATAGTTCATGACCGCACAAATGTCCAAGAACTAGTTAGTTCATGACCATTGTTTTAAGATGATGGGGCACATCAATGAACTGGAGGCTTTTGGATCTGGGCTAGATCATGTCACCAAGGTTGATGCCATCCTGAACTCTTTGCCTCCTTCCTTCAATCAGTTCATCATGAACTATAACATGAACAAGCTAAATGTTAGCATCGAAGAACTCAACAATATGTTGCAGAGGGCCGAGGAACTGATAAAGAATGATGAGCCCATTGCCATGCTTGTTAAGGGTGGCAAATCGGGCAAGAAGAAGAGGAAGGCAAAAAAGAAGCCTCGGAAGAAAATTAGCAAGCCCAAAAGGCAGAGGAAGGACAAAGCATCAGATACTTGTCACTTCTGCAAGCAGGCCAAACACTGGAAGAGGAACTGTCCTCAGTACTTGGAGACCAAGAAACAAGGTAATTTCGAATCCTTTGTCATAGAAACCAATATGTTGGTGACTTCTGCTTCCTGGTGTATTGATTTCGGGGCATCTACTCATGCATGTAATACATTGTAGGGGTTTAAGACAAGTAGAAGACTGAGTGACGGAGAGGTGATTCTTTACTTGTGGACTTCTGCAAGTGTTGCAGCTACAGCCATAGGAACTGTAGAATTGTATTTCAGAGAAGGATCAATTACATTAAAAGATTGCCTTTATGTACCAAATTTGAGAAGGAATTTGATTTCTGTTTCAAAACTGTGTGCGAATGGATATTCTATTCACTTTAGTAATATGATTACTATAAAAAAAAACAATAAATTCCTCGCATACGGAGAACTTGAGAATGGTCTCTATGTTCTCCATCATTCTCTGGAAAAAAATATAATCGAAACTACATCGGATAATAACCTCAAGAAAAGAACCCGTGATACAGTTAATCCCATGTGCCTGTGGCATTACTGACTTGGTCATATTAACATAGATCGCATCAAAAGGTTGGTAAAGGATGGTCCTTTGGATTTTCTAACTGTAGAAGATCTTCTAACCTGTGAACCTTGACTTCAGGGTAAGATGACGAAACGACCATTTAATGGTAAGCCTGAGAGATCGAAAGGCACACTTGACCTTATACATACTGATGTATGTGGTCCCATGAATGTTAGGACATGTAACCAGCACGTTTATTTCATAACATTCACCGATAATCATTCTCGATATGGTTACGTGTACCTAATGAGACACAAGTCTGAATCTTTTGAAAAGTTCAAAGAGTTCAGGCAAGAGGTCGAGAAGCAGTTGGGGAGACACATTAAGGCCCTTTGATCAGATCGAGGAGGCGAATATCTCTTTGATGAATTTAGGGACTACTTAAAGGAAAATGGGATAGTATCACAATTAGCTCCTCCTGCTACACCACAATTAAACGGTGTATCAGAAAGGAGGAACCAGACTTTATTGGATATGGTCCGATCACTTCTCGTACACACAGACTTTATTGAAGAGCCGTCCTGCTGATTCTGCTTCACCTTACACCGTGCCATCTTCGGTGGAAGCAGTCTTTGGTCTTCTCCTTGGGCGTGAACACTTTCGTTGGGGGTTACTGTTACTCCATATCAGGTATATCCCTCTCTTCCCTTTTGGTTTCAGATATGGTCCGGTTTGGTTTCAAGGTTGATCATTGAAAATGCAGTTTTCTAAAATAGGGAATGCGATTTCCACATGGGAAAGAGAGAAATTTTTGAAATTTCGCCCAACCTTCCTGCAGGGTTCAGCCATCCATATGATGGATCTCTCATCCCTTCAATAGCAGTGGTGAAGACTGTCACCATAGCTCTATGACTGTTGGAATTGGTGAAAAAATGCTTATTCTTCCACATTTTTGGCAGTTCCTATAGATCATCCTAGTAACCCATGGAAAATTATAAAAAATTAACTATAAATGAGTTTTTAGATATTTTAAATGATTTTCATTGCAGAAAAGAACTATAAATAGATCTATCAATGATATTTTAAACTTGTTAATCTAACAATAATTTATGCCAAAAATGAAATTTTTCTTGTTTTTTATGAAAAAAATTGAAAACTGAAAAACGCCATTTATTTTATATATTCTATATCATTATAAGGATGAACTATGGATCTCTTAATAATCTATCAAAGTCATTATCTAAGAACAATTTATTGCGTCTTGTAGTGAACCTTTAGTAGATTTGAAGCTCAAACATTGTTTGATTTATTATTAGTGATGTTATTGTATGATATGTATATGTTATAGACTCCCAATATTATTAATTGTAATGTATCTCTTTATCTAAACTATAAAAGTATGCATTCCTTATGTGTTTATACCTATTCCCTATCCATTTCAACTCTAGATTTATTGTTATTGATGTATTTGTGGGACTTGTAAGAGTTTCCTAATGCATCCAAGCATATCCATATCTTTCCACCATATCCATGCGTATCTAAAGTATATCATGATAAATATCCATATCCAAGCTTACCGATATGATGTGATACTGTTTTTTGAACCTTAGGCTCACCAATTGTAGGTGATCCATCCATTTACACCTTAGATGTATCAGACAGACATGTTCTGAATTCAAAGCTCTGGATTATTGTGCAGAAACCTCAATACTTCTGCTAATGGCATTATTTGAAGATAATGACCTCAAAATTGTGGCAAGAAGAATAGCATCAGTGGCTAATCATTTAGTCCCCGTTCACTCAACATCAGAACGCCCACTTGTTCATCTATCCAATGCTTCTATGAAGGATAGTTACCATCAAATACACGGTGAAGTCCCGACTCACGAAGCTGAATGGAGAGTTTGCTGCAACGAATCAGGGAAGGAGTTTACGGACATTATTTATGAGAAAGCCGTTGGGGAAGCAATCGCTAAGGTACTGTTTCACCCAAGCATATTGAAAGAAAATTTTCTTCTGAAAATGAAACTTTGATTGTTGAAACCTATTTATGGTTAGTTGTAAAAAAAGAGCACCCTTTAACAAGTTTCAATTGAAATTTGAGTGAAATAGCAGAACTTTGAATGCAGCTAGTGCCATGGGAATCTTTGCTTATTTATAGTCTATGGATATTAGATGCTTCCGTTTTTGCTAGGAAAAACAGTGAAGTTTTCCTATAATCTTATCCTCACCTGGACACCTGGACTTAGCTCTCTTTCTTTCACTTCCGTTTGCTATTATACTACTAGCACACACCACTAGTGCCATGGGAATCTTGCTTATTTATGGTCTATGGATATTAGATGCTTCCATTTTTGCTAGGAAAAACGGTGAAGTTTTTCTATAACCTTTTCCTCACCTGGACACCTGGACTTAGCTCTCTTTCTTTCACTTCCGTTTGCTATTATACTACTAGCACATGCCACTATTGTATCCAATTTCTATTAGAGCTTTAAATCCACTCTACTTCCACTTTGCTTGTAGATTACAATCAACCGGCCAGAGAGGAGGAATGCTTTCAGGCCACAGACTATTAAAGAGCTTATTTATGCATTTAATGATGCTCGAGATGATAGCTCTGTGGGAGTCATCATCTTTACAGGCAAGGTACCTTTTCTGTCTAATTATTCCTCTTCTGTTTTTGACCTTTTTTTTTTCTGTAAAACACTGTCCAATTCTTGCTTGAAGTTGTATCTTTAATTAGTTGAGTTAGTATGGTCATTAAGTTATTCACACCATCAGATTTTCCTATTTTAGAGTAGGCCTGGTGCATCTTTCAAGGGCCCCTCTTTCACTAAAAGGAATGTTGAAATCATGTTTATATTAGGGTACCAAGGCATTTTGCAGTGGTGGAGATCAAGCATTGAGAGACAAGGATGGATATGTTGACTTTGAAAGTTTTGGTCGACTTAATGTTTTGGATTTGCAGGTATTTAGTTTTCATGATTGAGCCATTTTTCTTTGGAATATAAGTCCCATGCGTGAACTCTTTACGTCAACTTCAAAACAATAATGGCTTTCTTGAAAATCAAGCACTTATATAGCATTGGTTCTTGTGCTGGCATATTATTCTACTTTTCTTGCCAATAATTTTCTTTTCTTTATGAAGGTACAAATTCGACGTCTTCCCAAACCAGTAATAGCAATGGTATACTCTTCTTATCTCACTTTTTTTTTTCTCTATATGATCTTTTTGCTTGACCTGTGCGTAATATTTATTTTCACCATTTCTAGGTGGCAGGTTATGCTGTTGGAGGTGGACATGTATTGCATATGGTTTGTGATCTAACAATTGCAGCTGATAATGCTATTTTTGGTCAGACAGGCCCAAAGGTTCTCATCCTTTATGGCTAATCATATTCAATTACAAAACTTGTAAATTCAACTGCTAAATGATGTCAAAATAATCATATATAACAGAGGATAGCTTGTTTGGGTAGCAAAAGGAAAACTATGTTTTAACCAGTGTTACCATTGATACAGATAGCCTTGTAGTTGTACAATCCATAGATTTTTGGTGATCATTAAGATGCATAGAAACCACTAAAATCTACAGTGTTTTTTTTTTAATATCTGACCCTTGTCATAGTTATGGAGATGAGTGCGTCTTTGATTTTACAACCTCTGTACAATTCGCAGGTTGTTAATGATCACTAAGATGGATGGTAACCACTGAAATCTGCCTTTCTTAAGAGAAATTATGTGACACCCTTGTCATAATTATGCAGATGAGTGTGTCCTCAATTGAACATATTTTTTCTGGCTTCTGACCAATTTGCTTTTTGAGAAAGCTTGACTTAAAATTCAGCATAATGCTGCCATGAAACTCTTTTAAGTTTGATGTTTAATTTTTGTTATTGGCCATTCAATGACAAGTAAGGTCATTTTTGATAACTATATTTCTTCATGTTTGACATAGTGGTTCTGTATTTGTGTTTGAGAGGACTTCAAGTGTCAGAGTTGCTTTAATTAATGGAAATAAAAACCTTAAGAACTTTGTGCATCTTTAGCCAACTAAAGCATATTATTTCTGCATTGTTTTGCTTTCATATCCCTGTATGGGCAAATATCGTCAAATTATCACTGGGGCATTTTTTTTTTTTTTTTTCCCTTGATATTATTGTATAGCCATCTTATTGTTTGAAGTCTCAAGAATAGTTCTATTCAAAAGTTGTTAGAATTGTATCTCCTAATCTGAAGATCTTGGAAGTCTTATGCTCTATGTGCTTACCTTCTACAGTTCCACTACTTCCTGTTTAAGTTGTTTTTCATGCTTGTTGGAACCTCTGCAAAAACAACACATTGCATAAAAGACACTATCTTGAAACAGTTGCATTAATAAAATGTATTAGGCACTTAAATCTACTTCCTGTGCTGTGATTCTTTCAGGTTGGAAGCTTTGATGCCGGCTATGGATGTTCCATAATGTCTCGCTTGGTAAGCTAATAAAGTAAGATGCTTTTTGGCATAGAACTGTTATCATCTCATGAAGCAAATGGGTATGGAACCAAAATGGTGTGGTTTCAATGGGAATGGGTTCTTTCTTGAGCCATGACATTTTTATGCATGTGCATCTGTAAGTTTTTATTTTATTTTAGTTTATCCTGGGATGTTGCATAATATGGGCCAATCCTAGTTTTACTTTGGATGACTTTAAATTGTTGCTAATTGTTTCATTGAGAACATACTCTGCAATGAGAATGGTTTCTTTGGTGTTTTTTTTTTTTATTTTTTAGTTACTTAACCTTTTTCCATTTGTTTTGAAAATTTGAAACTTTGTTTCTGGTTAACCAGATTGGACCTAAAAAAGCACGTGAGATGTGGTATCTAGCGAGATTTTATACTGCTTATGAAGCAGAAAAAATGGGACTAGTGAATGTTGTTGTACCGGTGAGTCCATAATGGAATCATGTCTAAGATATACCTTCATTTTCATAATTATGATGTTTTAGTCTTTGAGTTACATGTTTCATATGTTTCTAGACTGTAGATCCAGCCATTGTAGAAAGATAACTAATGGCCAAGTTGTTTCCTGCTTGTATCAGAAAGAAAAATTGGAGCAAGAAACATTGAAATGGTGCCGAGAGATCTTAAGGAATAGTCCTACTGCAATCCGGGTTCTCAAAGCTTCTCTAAATGCAGTTGATGATGGTCATGCTGGCCTCCAGGTATCTCTTAACAGCCCTTTTAGATAATATTGCCCAATTTGGTGGCTTGCAAGCATTTGTACATAATATGCACAGGAGACATATAGGGAGAGATAATTTGGTGAGTTCAAATGTAATATAATTTTGTCTTAAAGAAGGAATGAGGGTAAAAAAGGAAATGGTTGAAGAAAAATATTCCAGATGTGTTAGAAAGCAAGCAGGTGAATAGAAACATTCTTCCAGATATTGTTATAGAACCAACCGTGAATATTTTATGCTTGCTACTATACATAAAGCCTAAAACCATAATTTAAGGATTATCACTTGAAGATCAAGCATAGAACTTAACCATAAATAAACCCGGGAAAACTTTTAAGTCTCTCAAAGCACCTAAAATACCAAATTTCAAGATAAATAAATCTTAAATATTACAGAGGGTGAAATTTAAGATCAATAATAGTCTTCCTCCCCCTCTCCCACTCCCCCAGGTAAATAAATAAACACTAAATATTATTTCTTGTTTACAGTAGGACAAGTATGTTTTTGATACCTTTCTTCTATTCCCTTACAGTGAAAAGCAGTGAATAAATTCAACCTTAAGTACCTTAGTGGATGATAAAGACAATATTAGGAGTAAATGTCAAATTTTAGGTTACTTAGAGGAAACCAAAGGGAAATCCTCTGCAGCTCACAAGTGCTCAATGGAACTTGAAAGCTTAAAGACAGATTACTATTCATTAATTAAAAACATTCATTGCAGTTGCTTTATAATAAAAAAGCTTGAAATCTAACATAAGGGTCCTAGTTCTTTTCTCATTTTTTTTTGTGGTAAATGGTAAAAAGTGATTGTATTACTATAAACAAGGGAGAGATACCCTCAACTCTTTATGGTTGTAAATGACTATAATTCTTTTTATAGGAAATGGTAACTTTCATTGAATTTAGTTTAACATGAAACATACAACTATCAACCAAACATGAGGGTTCTGACCCAAGAAGCAAAACTTAAGTTACAATCCTGCCCAAAACAAGTCCTGTCTGAAGGTCCCTTGCTTTGCCAACATATCAGATAATCCATTAGCCGACCTTCTGACCTAATTAAAAGAGACCCCCTAGCTCCCTTGCTAGCCAACTTATTTCCCTCGAGAGCTGTCAGCTGTCTATATACCCAGATCTCCAAATTTTGTGACTTCATCCAACCAATTACTAGCTTAGAATCCTCTTCTGCCTCAATTTGATGAAGACCCATCTGTTTAGCCAATCTTAAACCCTATAGTAAAGCCATTATTTCTGCTCTCAGTGAATCTCTCACTCTTATTGGCCAGGAGAACATAGCCAAGATTCTGTCCCTTTCATCTCTCAAAACTCCACTTACTCCAGAAGGGCCCAGGTTGCCTAAAGAGCTCCCATCAAAGTTTGACTTCACCCTTTGGGCTGTAGGAGTCCAAGTAACCTCGGTTTCAATCTTCAAGGAAGTAGAGGCTGCCACTGCACTCCGACCTCTTTGTACGTCATCAACTGAGAAACTCCTGAAAAGTTATAAAGTTTTCAGCCAATGTATAATTTTAATGGTCATTCCATCAATAACTTTTCCTTGGACTTCAACACCTTTGAATATCCTGTTGTTCAGTTCTTCCCAAATTGACCAAAGTTTAGCTGCCCTTGTAGCTCTCCATGTAATTTTACCCCTCTTCTTTGGTTGCCTAAAGAAACTTGGATCAAAAAGACCCACCACATCCAGGGGAGGGTCTCACTTGCAGCCAAAGAGAGAAGAGAACCAAGTCCAAATAAAAGACACAAAGCGAGGAGATTAATAAGTGGGTAAGCGTCTCACAACATCCCAAACAAAGGCTACAAACATAAATCATTTAATAAAATTCCTTATTGCTTATCAAAAAGAAAGAGAAAACAAAGGCTACAAACATAAATCATTTAATAAAATTCCTTGTTGCTTATCAAAAAGAAAGAAAAAACAAAGGCTACAAACATGGGGAGAGATGCACCAGTTGGTCTTCTTCTTTGGAGCACATCCCAGCAAAAAGCTCTTACTTTTGGAGGCACCAGACTACACCAAACCTCCTTTTTTGGAAAATTTCCTGTCAAATTAGGACTGAAGAAGAGTATTGTAAAAAAGAAGAGCAAGTGAACACACCAGAAGGGGAAGGTGACCAGATTCAACTATCTAAGAAAGAGATCCAAAAATACTGAGCTTAGAAGAGAGATGAGTTCATCTACCATTCCCATTTCAGATAATTGACTGTATATGACTCTAATTGAGTGTCCAAGTATTTAATTTTTTCCATCTATAGAGTGACCTGAAATATCTTAAAAATCATAGCCATAAGGCGCAGGAATATAACAAAAACAACAATACCATTTTCATTGTCTACATATTTTTGACTAAGCCAATAATAATCCAAAACAAATTTGTAAGCATCAAATTTTGACATTATAAACCAGACCACCTTATTCACCCATATGATTCAGAAAGTCCAAAATCTCTTTTGTTGTCTTCTCTTCATCTTTCCCGCACTTCAGTATTTATAATAATTCGCTTTTTGCTGGATTTGAATTATTTACTTGGATTGTATTAAAATTCATACAAGCTACAAAAAATTTGGTTCCCTTGGTTCAGACGCTGTACATTGCAAGCCTCTTGCTTGAATCACATGCTGTTATTTACTTATATGAACATGGTTCAACATTATGGGTTACATGCTCCAAGATGATGGTACCTGTGGTGCTATTTAAAAGCAATATTGTTAATATGATTTTGTTTTGATCCTAATTATAGGAGCTTGGTGGAAATGCTACACTCATTTTTTATGGCACTGAAGAGGCAAGTGAGGGAAGGACAGCATATATGCAACGTAGACGCCCGGATTTCTCAAAATTTCCTCGGAAACCTTAGCAGAAATTACTGCAATGCCATGCACAATTCCCATTCGCATTCTTTTGTTTTTTTTTGGGTATAAGAAGGGAGACATTGCACTAGCAAAGACTAGGGTTAGTGCAGCCCTAACGATCCTCAATTGTTGTTCTTTCTATAAAATGCAAGAGTTTTCCTCGATCATTATCCATATAACCTTCCTGTTCAACATTTGCAATGAAGTCTGCAAGTTGATTTGCTTCTCTAAAGACATGCTTGATGTGGTTGCTTTCTGCTTTGCTCGACCAAAACTTGGGTGTGTTGAATAATCTGCTTCTCTAAATACGTGTTTAATATGGATTTTGTGAGGATTTTGTTCATTATTAGAAGCTACATGAACACTTTAATTTCTGGCTGAACGTTTAAATGTCATATGAAGCTTTTGAGATCAAGAATGGTTCTATGGTCCGACGGTAATTTATCACTCTGGTCATATTTGGGTGTATAAATTCCTTTTATTTTGTCATGAGCCTTGGGGGTACCAAACTATTAATCTGGCCAAGGTTCCAATTATCTAAAATGGGCTTATCTGTCCATATCACGATCTTTCTAGATTGTTCGCATTGGGGGGAATCTTATATGATTTCATTTCATGTTCCACGTTTTTTTTTTTTTTTTTTTTTTTTTTCAGTTTTAAAGCTCTATGGATTGCTTTGTAAGATTTATTAAGGTTAATAAGCTACATACATTAGGTGGGGTGGGTGTCCCAACCCTACTAATCATAAGTATCAATTTTGTTACAATTAAAATTTATATCTATCATGGGGTGGACTCAAATGATCAATTTTTGATAAAATCTGCCACATGGCTGAATACAAAAAATTAGTGGTTCTAATGCATCTTAGTGATCATTAACAACCTGCGAATTGTACAGAGGCTGTTGAATCAGGGACACACTCATCTCTATATCTATGACAAGGATTACACATTAAAAAAAATTGTAGATTTCAATGGTTTCTATGCATCTTAATGATCACCAACAACCAGTGATCTGTTTGGAAGATCATCTGTATCAAAGGTAACATTGGTTAAAACATCTCTCCAAATAAAAACATACAAGTAAGCAGATGTTCGGCTGCAACTTGCTATGAGGTGAGTGAAGAGGATTCTCTGATAAGGAAATCTGAACTCCAATTAACCACCCTATCACCTATGGCTATCCTATATATAGCCCAACACGTTTCAACATGATCACCCACCAATAGAAATCCCCACCAACACGTTCCAACATATCTGTGTCTACACATAATATAGGATACTAGCCTACTAGGATCCACCATACATGTGATGCATGAGTATACTAGGATCAACCATACATGTTGGAACGTGTTAGTTGGAATTTTTGTTGGCAAGAGATCCTGACTCATAATATAGATATCCACTAGCACAACTGCCCTCCCCCTAATACGTGACCCACTAATGAACATGTACTAAAGTGATGGGATTACTTGCAAATAAAAGTTCTGCACACTCTGCAAGTATGGAAATCCAGTGGCACATTGGAGCATATTTCCATGAATTTAATATACATGTAGTGGAGATATTCTTAATGTGTGGTTAGATGCTGTGTATAGAGTTTTTTCTTGAAGGAGATTAAGACTCTATAATAAAAGACGATTTACAAAACTCCATAGATGGATCTACTTCGTAAGAATGAGGGCAAGGGGGAGAGGAAAGGTGCACAATGGTGTGCGAAATGGGGGAGACTACACAAGGATCATTCTAAAATATCCATTTATTTTGATTTAAATAACAAGAACGCCCCTGCCATGGACAATGGAAATGCATGATCAGCATGTTGGTGTTTGGTATTAGAGTATTTACTCCAAGTCATTTCCTCCAATCAGCACCATGCAGGATTTTGTTCTTTCCCTCGCTTTTTCTTGTTTGGTTGAGCGTTTTCAAGTAATGTTGAATGCCTCTATGATAACAATTTTCAACAAAACATCATTTTGATGTTTCTTGTAATGGAAAAATCATTTCTACCTTTTTGTCTATGTGGCACTTAATAGTGTCTATCTAGCACCAAATAACAATATAAAATATACACAGAACCTGAAATTATTTTACCAAATTCCAAATCGTGGCTTGAGAAAGCAGTAATGATACAAAACATCCCCATCATCAACCATGCAATATGCGCCACTTGCTTTGTGCGGGAAGCAAAAACTCAACTAAGAGGATGGAGTATTTGTGGTGAGTGAGATTAAAGATTAAACTATAATGGTTAGATTAGAGTTTCTCTAACCCATGGATTAAAATATCAATACGATACTTCCGATATGGGGTGTATTGTATCTGTATTCATGGCCACAGATACAAGATATGCCACAACTGTGTATGTATCCCATGAGTAATGTGCATTATCGCTCGATAAGATATGTTTCCATATTAGGCTGTATTGTGTCATATTAGTGGATACGGGCCAACTGAGTAAGCATTTACAAAGTTGGTTTTCGAAAACTCATCTTAATACATATAGGGGAGGATGATGCAGTACAAGAGAAGACCAATAAGTTCTATGCAAGTTAGAACCATTCAAAGACACATAAGAAGCTTGGATGATGTTACTGATCCAACCGACATAGCGCCAACACGAAACTTTTGTCTTAGTTCGAAATTACCAAGTTAGCATTAGATTGTGATTTCTGAATTTTTATTCAATTTAGACTTTCTTTTTTTTAGAGTTTTAGTAGGATTCTATTATATTATGGAGTGTTTTCTTAGATTATGATTGCTCAATTAGGACTTTCTTTTTTGAAGAGATTTAGTAGGATTATAATAAGGAGTGTTTTATTAGATTAGGAAACTTCTTTGTAGGAGGCATAAGGGTGTAAGTCTATATAAAGAGTAGCTAGGAAAAAGCTCGGGAAGTTTTGATATTGATTTTCTCTTAATTATTCAGTAAAGAGTTTTTTTCCTGTTTATTCGGCTTTTGCTCTTTTCTTTGAAGCTTCTTTGAACGTAGTTTATTTCCATACTGCGCTATTTGGTATCAGAGCTCATGTTTGATCATTCTTTGGGTTGTGGTTTCTATGAGAACACAAGTGACTCATATCATGGAGCAGAAACTCAACAACAAAACACAAAAAGAGGTGGCAAAGTTGAGAAGACAAGTTGGTGCATTTGCTCAAGAGTTGAAATCGTTGCAAGGGGACAGTGACTCCAATGCAGGTGTCTCCGTTTGTTCATATTCATTATCAAGGCAAGCATTTAGGTCGGTTATAGTTGCGAGTGGTGATCAGAAACAGTGGGAAATGGGTTTCAATATTGAGATCCCAAAGTTTCATAAAGGCTTGTCTACTTGGCAAACAACCACACTGGCTATAGTTGCAAGTGGTGAACAAAGGTGATGGAAAACAAATCTCAAGTTTGAGTTCCTGGAGTTTAATGGAGGTATAGCCTCAAATGAATTCATGGACTAGAGTTCCATGGAGGACTTAGCAATTTCAAAGTTTGAATGTAAAATCAAATATTATGACTTTGTTGAATGTGTTAATATTGTTGAGGATTATAATGAAAATCTTGTGTGGCCATTCTCCTCAACAACATCTATTGAAGAACATGTTGATTGGACCAAACCTCAAATCTATGATGAAGAACCTATTGCTTAGGAGGAGTATGCTATCCTTCATAATGAATTTCAAGATGATGGAGATAATACCTATCATCGTGGGGGTTATGGTCACATTGTCTTCATGCAAGTCTATGAAGGTCCTTATTGGAAAGAAATTTTGCAATGCCCATCATGGTTACTAAAGGAAGAATTAAGTTATTTGAAGATTAAGAAATGTGTTTCAAAAGTTAACTAATGTAATGAAGACATTCAATTTGTATTTGGGGGGTTTACACCACCAGATATTTATCAGAAAGTTGGAAATAGAGAAGCATAATAGAAACACAACACGATATATTGGAGGACTGTCACATAGTAGCATGAATCCGATGATAGATTCTCTTGAACCCGGGGAGGATGATGTAGTATTGGATTCGAGCCAATTGAGTAAACATTTACTAAGTTGGTTTTTGAAGACCCATCTTAGTACATATAGGGGGAGGATGATGTAGTACGAGATTCTAGCCAACTGAGTAAACATTTACAAAGTTGGTTTTCAAAGGCCCATCTTAGTACATATAGGGGGAGGATGATGTAGTACAAGAGAAAACCAATAAGTTCTATGCAAGTTAGGACCACTCCAATAAGAAGCTTGGATGATGTTACTGATCCAACCGAGTAATCAATTACCGAGTTAGCGACAGTACGAAACTTCTATCTTAGCTCTAAATTACCAAGTTAGCGCCAATGCAAAACTTTTATCTTAGTATGAAATTACCAAATTAGCATTAGGTTGTGATTTCCGAATTTTTGTTCAATTAAGACTTTCTTTTTGAAGAGTTTTAGTAGGATTCTATTATGGAGTGTTTTATTAGATTAGGCTACTCAATTAAGACTTTCTTTTTTGAAGAGATTTAATAGGATTATAATGTATGTGCTTGGAATCGTGGGCGTTTTTTCATTCAACATTTGTACTTTGTTTGCTTACAAAACCGAAAAAGGTAATAATTGCAACTATTTATGACAACTAGGCGCTATTAGGCACCACATAAGCATAACAACGAAAAAATGACTAACTGTTGGGGGGAGCTTTAAAAAATAACTTCCCCAAATGGTAGGCATGCACAAAAACTGAAGTCACCTTTTTTTATTCTCGATTGGTACGAACGAGCATGAGAGGAAAAATGCTGAAGTGACACCTATGTGGCAGCGTTTATTGAAAAAACACCCACACTTCCAAACACACAGAATAGTGAGTGTTTTATTAGATTAGGGAGCTTCTTTATAGGATGCATAAGGGTGTAAGTCTATATAAAGAGTAGTTAGGACAAAGCTAGGGTAGTTTTCATGTTGATTTTTATCTTAATTATTCAATGAAGAATTCTTCTTCCTATTTATTTGGCTTTTTCTCTTTTCTTTGAAGTTTCTTTGAACATGGTTTGTTTTCGTACTGCGCCAAATACACACTGATACAAGAGCGTATCAGTGCCTAATTTAACAAATCTATATATTCACTACTTTTGGATTGTTTTCAAAATTTAATAAAAATTTAAAATTACAAAAATAATTCATTTTGTCTACCTTAAATGATTTATATGTTTTATTTTACATATAAATTATATGTTAAAAATGAAAAAATATTCATCATTTGAAAATGAAAGAGTTATTATTTTTAAAATACTAAATAAGTAAATTTTTAACAAAGCTAATAAAATTTTAAAATTGTAAAAATAATTTACTTTATCTACCTTAAATGATTTATATATAAAACAATTATATGTTAAAACTGAAAACATGTTTATTAATTGAAAAAATAGAGTTATTATTTATAGGTGTGCAACTTAGGTTGGCCCAAGGTAGCATTTTACATTGCTTTGGGCTTGGGCCTCAGGTTGAGCCTATTCAAATATTGACAAAAGCTCAACCCGAGCCTGTCCAAGTTGCACCCCTAATTATATTTATGTAAAAATACTAAAAAATAAATTTCCCAAAAATTTAATAAAAATTAAAAATTATAATTAAAAAACTGAATTTGAATGATACTTATAGAATGATGTGTACATGTTCTAGAGTCTTGGTATTGTTGATTGTATCCCTTTATATAACCTATTAAAGTGTGCATTTCTCATGTGTTTATACCTTAATCATAGATAATTCAGCTTTAGATTTATGTGATTTGTATATATTTCTCTAGTACTTCCAAGTATTTCCATATCTTTTGTGGTATTTATAGTTTCCAAAGTCTATCACATTTGATATTGTTCTCACTTGTCTTGTTGTATTGGAGTCTTTCATCTCAGTTCACATGAATATTGTACAAGAAGTTGAATCTTCTAATAGAAGTCTTGGGTTTGTATCATATAAAAAAAATTGGGAACATATATGATGCAGGAAAGACATTGTATCAGACGAGTTTTGACCAATCAATACCCACCCATGAATTTTAATAAATAACACCTGATTGGCTACCACATTTATGATACTAGTTGATTGGTCAAAAATTTTTTAGATATCATATAGAAATATGGGACTATTGGCCCAAGCTTTAGCCATGAGCCAATGACAAGTTGACAACAACTAGAGGTGTCAATTGGACCGAATTTGGTCCAACCCGATCCATAGGAGTGTCCATGAAAAACTGCAAAACCGAAAAACTGAACCGAACCACAAAATGTAGTTAACTAAACCAATCGATTCAGTTTCAGTTTAGAATTTTTGAAAAAGCGAAGGACCGGTTCACTTTCAGTTAACCAAACCGACCGGTATATATATTTATATGTATATTTTTAATATATGTCACATATTTTCTATATATATATTCAATATATATAAATATATACTTATATTATGCTTATAATAATCTATTTATAAATATATTATATATTATATATTTTTAAAATATTTATAATATATTATATATCATTCATTATTTATAAAATAATATTATACATATATTTATATAATATATTATAAATATAAGAAACAGAAAAATTGAAGAACCAAACCGATCAAAAATCGAAACCGGCGGACTGGTTAACTAGTGGTACCGGTTTGGTTTTGGTTTGGAGAAATGGAAAACCTGGTACCACTGGTTCAGTTTGCAAAAATTTTCCATGGTTCGGTTACACCGCTACCGATCCAATCCAATGTGAGTCCACTTACAAATGGACTGGACCTAATCCAGTTCAAATCCAATCCAATCCATTAAAATGTAAATGGATTGGATTGGACCCAATTCAAATTGAATGAAATATCAAAAATTACAAAAATATATTAAAATGAAGAAAATCTGAAAATTACAAAAATATACCCTTTTGGCATTGAGAAAGCACTTTTGTAAAAGTACTTTGCACTTTAATCAAAATACTTTCATAAAAGTACTTCCATAGAAGTGATTTTATAAAAGTACTTTCATAAAAGTGATTTCGTAAGTCTTTTTTTGTAAAAGTACTTTTATAAACATACTTTTGAAGAAGTGCTTTTACAAAACTAATAAAAGTACTTTTGTAAAAGTGCTTTTGTAGAAGTGCTTTCGTAAAAGTCCTTTCATAAAAGTATCTTTTGTAAATGTGCTTTTATGAAACTACTTTCATAAAAGTGATTTTATGTCTGCTTCAGTTTTGATCGGTTTCAATTTGGACAAAGGTTTGCCCACATGATCAGATTATTGAAAATTTAGTTTAAGCCCAATTCAGACTAATAAGAATATAGACCAATTTATTTTAAATCGGCCCAATCCAATAATTATAACGAACTATCCAAATCCGATTTGATAAGATTTGTATCAGATCCAATCCAAAACCGGTCAATTAACACCCCTAACAACAGCACATGCTGTCCGCTTAAGAAGAAGCCAAGTGGAGTGTCGTAAGGAATGTCCATACAGTCAGGTCCAGGCCCGGTCTTTTATTCCCAGCCGGGTGTATGACTTGCTTCGGTTTTCGGTTCCTTTCTCTTTGGGTTTCGGCTATACATTCACTTGTAAACATACCAGATACCACCCATTTGCAAACTGAGCCTCTGTTTAGTCGTAATGCAATTTCATTCACAATAGTGCAAATGAGAAAATTCCAATGGTAGTTTATTTTTACCTGGGGTTTTATTTTATGTTGCTTTAGGTTTTATGTAATTTATTTACACAGAAACAAATAAAACAAGGTAAGACTTACAATAAAATTAAGAGAAAATTTATGATACCGGAAAGACATATCAGAAGAGCTTTGACCAATCAAAGCACCCCCATAAATTTTGGCGAATATCAATTGTTCACCTATTTTATGATAATACTGGTTGATTGGTTGTAAGTTTTTCTGATATCATGTCTTTCTAGAATCATAATCAAATCCAAGAATTTGGACATACCTCATTTGCATTCTCATACTTTGGAACTAATGCAAATGAATTGCACTTCAAACAAACAAGGCCTAATGAACGAATTTGGCAGACATTCATTTACACTTTTTTGTCAAGTAGGGCTGTTCATAAGAAGACCCAACCTGACCAAACTGAATCAAACCGACTTAGTAGTTAGTAGTTAGTTCCTAGTTAGTATTTACAATCTATTTAGTTCCTACTTAACTAAGTTGTCTCTATCCTAGTTACAACTCAACTTAATTTCTAGTCTTCTAGTTAGGAATGACATTAAGGGCAAGTATTGTAAGACAACCAGACAAGGAATTTTTTTGGAAAAGTTTAAAGAAAAAATCAAAGGATCCTAGTTTTTATAGTCTTTTACACCAAATAGGCAACTAATTACAATTAGAATTAGGTGTCCTTTTTTACTTAGATTAGAAGGTTAGGTGTCCTTTTTTATTTAGATTAGAAGGTTTTTTGAAATATACAAATTTCAGTCTTCTTTCTCTAATACAGTTTGACTTTCTATTTTCTTGATAACTTCTATTCTAAATTTCAGTCTTCTTTCTCTAATACAGTTTGACTTTCTATTTTCTTGATAACTTCTATTCTAACTTGGTCCGCCCCCTACCAATTTCAGTCTTCTTTCTCTAATAGAATTAGGTGTCCTTTTTTACATCAAATTTCAGTCTTCTTTCTCCAATCTACCAATTTATTACCATGGTTGAACTTAGAGCCAAAACCGACCCAACCCGACTCAAACCGACCAGGTCGGTTTTGTTTAACACAGGGTCGGTTTCGGTTTCAATTTCAAGTAACCCGACCAGGTCGGGTTGGTTGCAAAAATCTCAGTAAACCGACCCAACCTGACCCATGAACAGCCCTATTGTCAAGGACATAATCATGTCTCAAGTGATGACTCATGAGGGGAGGTTGTTCCAACTTCGAAATAAATGATTACCCAGGAAACAACTTTGCATATTAGAACAACAGATAGATACAACATCTGAGATCTGAAACATTTATTTGTTACACATACAAGTATACAACACAATCAGAAAATTATTATACAATTTGTAAGACTTCTTTCCCATGGGTCAAGGATCATTTGAAACATTTTACCTGGACAGAAGTTTCAAGTATTTTGTACACCAGATACACCACAACATGCTCAAGAAATGGATCAAGTGGGAATAACATCGTCCTGAGAATCCCCTAAGATACCTTCTTGTATCTGTACCTCACAGAGCAGACGGCATAAACCAGTAAGTTCAAGAAACTGAGACCAGCCAGGAGCCAGAAGTAGTAATCAAGGTGCCCCTCGTTCAAATTGTCAGGTACCCAACCAGGCTTTCCACCTTTAGTTGTTAGGGCTGTGACAATGGTCAATATCAGGGAGTTTAGATAACTTCCCAATGAGGCTGTAAGAAGTGAGAGGGCAACAAATAAACTTCGCATTGCATCTGGCGATTGATCATAGAAGAATTCAAGATGCCCAATGTTTGTAAATACTTCTGCAGTCCCCACCAAGAAATACTGAGGTATCTGCCAGAAAATGCTGATGGGTACTGCAACTTTATGGTCAACTAAATCAAGGGCCCTTGCAACCTCCAATCGCATGTTTTCTACCAAGGCTGCTGCTACCATGGCTAATGTTGATATGAAGAGGCCAATGCCTATCCTTTGCAATGATGAGAACCCTCTCTCTTTACCTGTGAATTTCCTTGCAATAGGGACAAGGATCCTGTCATAGATAGGCACCAAAACAATAACACTGATTACATCAGCAGTTGACAAAGATGCTGGAGGGATTGTGAAGGAACCAACAGTTGCATCCATAACCATTCCCTGTTCCAGGAACAATGTAGACATTTGAGAGTAAATAGTAGAAAAGACGATTACAGTAGCCCAGACAGGGAATATGCGGATCACTATCTTTAGTTCTTCCACCTGAGTTACGGTGCAGAGTCTCCATGAATTGGAGAAGTCCTTATTTTTAGCTTCGTGATCTGACACCACAGCAGCTTTATCCAGACACCTACAGTAGACATGATGTTTCTTAAATATGTTAATAACTCCGCAAAATTTGAGTGTATCTACCAAGGTGCATGTTCCCTCCTTGTAGTTACCTCCATGTATGAAATGTGAGGACCTCCCAAATAAGGAAGATGCTATGAAAGTTCTCAAGTTCTGTATTCAACAGGGGTAGTAATACCCAATAAATCAAAGAAAACTAAGGAATCACATTATATCAAAGTTTACTTTTAGGTATCATACCTTTCTGGTATATTTAATAAGAGTGTTTCTTCATTCACAGAAATAATAAATAAAAGAACCATCACCCCTGTGCAGATATTAACCATGAAAGAAAAGATAAAGCTAGTTCAGTTGTGGGGATTTATGAAAAACTCAATAGATGATTGGAATTAGTAAATAAATACTTACTTGAATTCATCACTATGTTCCAACTTCCGAGTCCCTCCAATTGAAGAGGTCTTGTCGGGTAGTTCGTACAGGAGACTACAATCACGGGGAACCTCAACATTCCACTTACGGAATGATGCGACCAAAACTTGGCAAACTCTCGTTATAGGGCTCCCTCTAGGCTTCTGAAATCTATAAAGAGGCGTTCCCAAAAAGAAACTGGCAATTGCAATTCCCATAAACAGTGTAGGAATTGCAAATCCTATACCCCACCCAGCATTGTCTTGGATCCACACAATAAGACTACTTGATATGAGAGAACCTATATTGATAGAGAAATAAAACCAATTGAAGAAAGATCCCTTCTTTACTCTCTCAATCAAATCAGTATCATCAAACTGATCTGCCCCGAAGGATGAGACACAAGGTTTGATACCACCAGTCCCTAGTGCAAGTAGATACAGACCAGAAAAGAACAAAGCATGTTGTGCTGGAGTTGCTGTCGGGCAAATGGATCCGACACAGTCAGGAGGCTTAAAGGAAGGAACTGATGCTGAAAGAGTCAATGTAACCATCCCCTAGATAAAATACAAAAACAAATTTAATCAATTATTCAAGGAAATATTCAGTCGTAGGAGAAAATGAACTCAGGGTGGTGTAATTAAAAAGTGGGATATACTTGACCAAATTTTTAGGTTGAACCAATGTTTAAAAAACCAACACAGAACCAGAACCACTTTGGCCACTGGTTTCCAGGTCAGTGGTTCGCCCATCCGGTCTGAACAGATTAGTCCATAACATTTTAGGATTTTAGAAAAATAAAAATTGGCCCAAAACATTGTCTGGGTCGAGTGGGTGGATGGTTCGACCACCCAGGACAGCAGATCACTGACCAATTCAACAGTTTTTGGGAAAACAATAATTTGGGGCTAAAATGGTACCCTGGCCACTTTCCAGCCAATCAGTCCAATCATCCAGGTCAACAAAGGTTTTAAAACTTTGGGTTGAACTTTGTTTTGAAGCAATCAAAATTAAAATATAAAGAATCTCATTGCATACTTACAATAAAGTAAACTGTGGAGAAAACCGCAACTGTCCAGTACCTTCCCCAATATGCATCTGCCAAAAAGGCTCCAATAAGGGGTGTGATGTAGCAAGTGCCTTGCCATGTGGCGACATTTTTTGCTGCATAAACATTTCCTTCCTGCAGTTTGTGTCTGAGATAAGTGATGAGATTTTTTGCAATTCCATAGTAGGCCAAACGCTCACAGAATTCAGTGCCTGCAATTATTTTACAACTGTGACATAAGAAACAGACACTGGCAGATACTAATATTGAAAATCATCAAGTGTTACCTAGAATGAAAGGGCATGCTTTCCAATTTCCAGTACTGTACTTCAGGGCTGGGTTCCCATTGATGTCAACTGACCCATCACTTGTGTATGATGTTCCGCTTACATTCTTCAAGGAGAAACATTAGATACCAATGAAATTTCACACAATTCATCCTATTAAAATGACAAAACAGCAATGTTTTTTCATCCTCAGCATCATAATGGCTGTTGTTTTTATTACTGTTTATAAGAGCCAATCCATCAAATTTCTAAAGAGAAAACAAAGAAAAACTATACCTTGAATATTTCAAGTTTCAGGTGGTTAAGGTTACTAAAAACATTCCATTTTTTTGTGCTTTCCCTGTCTCATGTAGAGAATCACATTTTGAAATGAGTACCTGTTTCTACTGTAGCTGCAGTAGTCCGAACCAGTAAGGAGAAGAAGAAAGAGAAGGAGAAGAAGAAGAAGAAAAGAAGAAGAAGATGAAAGAACTGTCGAACCTAATAGCTAAACCCTATCAGTCGACCTCTTAATAGTGATTAGGCTTCTAATTAAATGTACAAGGACTAAACTGCCCCTACTTAAGTATGGGACAGAGAACCTCTAATAAGACTGCCACATAAGCTCATAACTTAACCAAGGTGAGTTGACTAATCTACCCTTATTCGGCTAACTCTAACATTTTGAAATGAGTACCACATGCAAATAAGTGGGGGTTTGTGTTTTTCCTTTAGTCAGCTATGTTAGGTGGGTTCTTCAACATGGTTCCATATATTTTCTTTGGAGGTTCAATTTCTCACTAATTTTGGCATGTCATATAAATGTCCTTTGCTTGCCCTAGCTAGTTAAGTTCACCAGAGCTACATCATGTATAAAAATGACGACAAAAATATGAAGACCCACTTGATCAAACTATCAAATTGAGAAAACTCTATTTTATTCCATATCCAAAGCACTTGTTTAATGAGCGGTTCATCAAAGAGATTCTTGGAAACAAAACTAAACCTACACATGTGAGGAAGCATAACTGAGTCATACAAATGACAGAAGTATTATTCCTTTGATGGATGCTAGGATTTAGACTGCTTGTTCTTCTGGCCACTTCTCTTGTGCTTCTTTTACAAATCCTTATCTAAAAATCCTTCTAGCTTGAGAACTTGTGAAAGCTGTTGGGGGGAACTGACACCTCTTAAGGTGAGGGCTTTTTGTTGTGGGCTGACTCACCTGACAATCAACACTTGTGAGAATCTCCAAAAAAAAAAAAAAAAAGAAAAAGCTGCCTTGGTGCTTATCCCCTCACATGTGTTTTAGTAGAGCAAGCAGTGAATCCACTTACCACTTACTAATCTCCTACCCTTATGTGTTTTTCATTTGGGGTTTTTTCTCTCTTTTTAGATGCATGTGGAAACCCCAAACAATGTGAAAGACCCATTCCACACCTCTTTTTTCTCACCTAAAAGGAAGAGGGGGGTATGTAGAGATGCACAAGAGTGGCATCAATTTGGGCCTTTTGAGAGAAAAGAAACCATAGAGTATTCATGAATAAAATGCAATCAATGGAAGTGTCCATTGAAAATATCACCATCAAGGTTAGTCATCGGGTAAAATCCTTGGAAATGTTTCAGCCATTCTCTATCAACGACATCATATGGAATTGGCAAATAGTAGTTGACTCTTCAACAAATAGAGTGATCACTGCCAAAATCTGACCCCCTCCATTTGCAAAACACTATCAAGATGAGTTTTGATGTTAGCAGCTTGGGAAATCCAGGGATGAGGGAAGACATATATCCATAAACAGCCAAACTCTGCATCATATAATAGTACTTGGTACAATTTTCACACTTATCAACACTCTCACATTGGAATTGATCTCACTTTGTCTTGAATGTTCTTTTATCTTGCTATTTCCAAACCACCAAATAAAGGGAACAGCTTGGCATGGGACAAACAAGTAAACTTTTCACTTGCATCATTTCATATAATGCATTAGTCCAGTATCCTGATAACTCTGTGGTTGAGAAGTTCAATTGTCAGTCTGTTGTCTAAAAGCATGTTCAAATTTAAATTTCTACACTAGATGGGTAGGACCACTTCACTATCCTAGTTATCCTCAATTCCTCCAAAGAAAAGTCATAAAAAGGATCAAATACTACCTTGAGACCTGGTCTTACGTGGACATTTGACTGTTTGATCTACCATCCATCAGCAAACCAGGTCAAAGAAGGCTGAGCTTGGTAAAGTTTCAGAATATGTATTAAATATATATAAAATATATGCCTTATATAGGCACAAACTATATTTCTAGGATTGTTTATTGAGTTTGATTATTTTCACTTGCCTTCAGAGTATTCAACTGAACATTGGATGCATCATTCCAAGACCACTATAAATCCATGGTGAAACACTTATGGCTAGGAAATTAATGATGCCTTTATTTGGTAGATGTAAGAAGACTGGTTTCTAAAAGCAATTCATTAGATAAAATAACAGATCAGTGTAAGCATCTCATAATTTATGCAATTTTAAGGCAGCACTAAAACAATTTGCTCAAACATGAATATGTTCATTAGACATCAGATTCACTTCACATCTGAATTTCTGCAGATCAGCATGGCAATAGGTTTACTTCACAGTCCATGTGGATGCACACAAGCTTTTCTAATAAAAAACAGTGATTTCACATGCTAGCACACACGTTCACCAACTGGGAATTGTAGCATGCTATTTCCTAGGGATAGCTTTTCACTGAACTAGATTGGAAATCTTATTAATTGTTCGAATATATCTTTAAGTTATGTTTCAATTTTTTCAGCAAAACTTTAGATAAATATTTTATTTCTTTTCTTCAAAGTGCTTTTTCAAGTTACCATTCTAACAAATAAAGGCAAAAGTCTCAGTAATGCATTTTCCGCAACGCAAATCAGTCGACTGAAGTACATAAAATCTTTCAACCAAAACACAAGGGGATCTCAAATTAATTAACTTGGGAATATTTTTACTGCAAGGCACTCCAACAAGCCTACTTACTTTGGACATAAACACGATTTAATCCAAGTGATGAAATCACCAGAGCATTTCAATTGGATGAACTTACTAATTCTGGGTGTGTTCAATAATATGCATGATTTTGTGTCGAAAAAAAACTGGCATGTTAGCAAAAACAAAATCATGCAAATTTGGAAGTACTAAGATTGTCAGCGGATGACCTGTTAGCCAGTAAAACCATAATGAGGTATCAGGTAATGTCAACCAAAATCTACCCTAAAAGAAGGGAGGATTTGGAAATTCGTAACTATAGTTTTAGTAACCATACTAAACTATATGGTATATTTGCTTGAATTTCCAAATCTATAAATGTCTGAATCGGCCAATTTTCAGGCCAGATTCTGATTTTCATATTGATACTTCAATATGTTTAGTTAACTTTTATGCCTTTTTTTCTTTTTCCTTTGTATCACAGAGACCCTTGACTTGACACCGAGATTTTTGCTCAAGACATCCACACTTGATGATCAGGGCAACAAGTAAATCCAATAAAAACTATTCCTGACAAACTAGAAATGGATTATACATACCTACATGCCATGCACTCAACCGAAATTATTCGATACATCAATCAAAATTTTCGATTAACGAGTCTAAGCTTTCAACCAAGTGAATTAAAACGCGCATAGAGAACGTACTCTTCAACAGATTTGTAAGAAAAAGAAGAAGCTGAGAAAACAATGTAAGAAGCACAGACCTCCAAAGGTCCTTCTTCCAAGAGGCGTCTTTCCTCCTCCACCCGAGAAGTCATCGTCAGATAATCAGAAGTTTCAGTCTGAGTTCAATGAAAAAAAAAATATAATCAACAAACAATTATTCAATCGTTTTGACAAAGTGATCAACTAATGAGTGTCAACTTTTCTTTTCCTACGGTCCTACCTCACCAGTCACCACCCTGCTCGAACAGTGTCCGACTCATCGGTCTATCATTCATAGCCCGGGCTTGGGCCTAGGTTTTGGTGTTCATGCCCGGGCCCATAACAGGCGATAATTTGTAGGCCGAGCCTGGGCCCAATACCTTAAATCCATCCATTGCCTCATTGGTTTGAGAATTGAGTGTCATCAATTTTTTGTATTGATGATGTTTTAATCATTTAAAATTTGGGAAATTGTCTAAAAGTCACCATGAGTTTTTCTCTTAAACTCACCACAACTCACCATGTTAATAAGCTTTTATTTTCCAAAATTTACCTTCCGTAAGTGCACCATTAATGCTTCTTAACAGAGGTGTCCACATCAGCATAAATAACAAATTTCATGACCAAATTACCCTTGGATAGCTAGTTAGAGGAAAAGGGTCTTTTCGGTTTTCAATTTTCATGTTTTTTTGCATTTTTAGTGTTTTATTATAATTTCCAATATTTTTTATAATTTCTGTTTTTTACATTTTTCTATTTTCTACAATCTATAAAATTTCTTGTATTTTTTTGTTATTTATTTGCAATTTCTGTGCTTTTCTATAATTTTTGGTGTTTTTTTCTACAATTTTTGTTTTCTGATTTTATTTTTCAATTTCTATAGTTTCTATAATTTGAAAATAATTTTTTATTTTACTTGCAATTTCTATAATTTTTTTATATTTTTTGGAATTTCTGTATTTTTATGTATTTTATATTTGAAAATATTTTTTTGACCTTTTTTCCTGTTTTTCATGTCTAATTATTAAAATATATATATATATTTTATATTTTTTTATGAAGGTTAAAACGGTAATATATTAACACATGTTTGTTTAACATCAAGTTAGTGACATGGTGAGTTTTAGACATTTTGAAAAGTTGTGATGAATTTAAGAGAAATGATGAAAACTCAGGGTGAATTTTAAACAATTTCCCATAAAATTTTAGTTTTCAAGATATGCAAATATGCCCAGAACTGGGCCCAACCTGGTGTGACGAAAGCTTATATTCTAGGCTGGGCCCAGATTAAAGCCCTTGTCAACGATGATGGATTTTGTCCTCACATGAAATCCGAATTTGTAGCGCTAATGATGCCATTATATAATTTAGTTTGGATTTCCTACCCACTTGACATTGCAGCCATACATGAGAATACCTCATGCTCTTACATGTCATTATGCATGGGAGATGTTCAGCATCGCATGTAGTGTTTTGTAGATAGGTGTGGATGGGAAGAGATCCGGAGTCTTATTCCGGATTTCCTATATAGCAGCCATACATGGGGAACATCTCATGCTCTTATATGTTATTTTGTATTCACAATATATAATTATATTTTAAGTATAGTTTATATTTTTATCTTAATTTTTTATAAATTAAGAAAGCTAAAATTGAGATTTGATTTCTTTTGGCAAAATTATGAATCAAGGCGCCTTGGGCCCCTTATGTTGCATAGATCATAAAAAGTTATCCAAAATGATCATCATCAAGCCCAAAGTTTTAGCTTTTGAAGATTTTCTAACTCTGTAACATGTTGATTCACGTCAAATGGGTCAATTGTTTAACCAACCAGGTCAATGGGTTATTAATCAAGTCAATGATTTTCAAAGAATTAAAGAGGCTACTTTCTTCAGAGAAAGATCAAAAGCACCAAGGTTGGATGGGTTCTCTATGGCATTTTTCCAAAGATTGCTGAGAGGTCTTGGAAAAGGATTTGAATGAGGTGTTTGATGAGTTATAAAAAATGGGATATTTCATGAGGAACAAATTTTACATTCATTACCCTAGAACTTAAGAAAAAGGAGGCCAAAATTCCAAGGGACTTTAGACCAATCTGTTGGTGGGTAGCCTATATAAAATAATAGCAAAAGTCCTCTCATGTAGAATAAAAAAGGTCCTACCCACAATAATCTCACAATCTCAAAGAGCTTTATTGAAGGAAGGAAAATTGTTGATCAGATATCAATGGCTAATGAATGTGTTGCAAAGAAGAAAAAAGGTGGAAAAGAATTTATCTATATATTGGATTTAGAAAAAGCCTACGATTTGGTGGATTAGTCCTTTCTTCTTGAAGTTATGGAGAAAATTTGGTTCAAGAAAAGGTGGAGGTTATGAATGAGTTAAGGGATGCTTGAGCATAATGCAATATTCAATTCCAATCAATGGGTTTATTAGAGATTTTATTCCCAGTCAAGAGATGTTTTGAGATAGGGTGACCCTTATTCTCGTTCCTTTTCATCTTGATTGCAGAGGTCTTAAGAAGAATAATCACCAAAGGTGGATTTGAATGCTTTAATTAGAGATTGGAAGGTGGGGAGGGATGAGATTATAGTTATCTACTTACAATTTACAAATGACATAATCATATTCAGCAAGGAAACTAGTTTTAAGTCCTTGGGAAGCCTAAAAGAGTTGGTGAGATCCTTTAAGAAACTTTCTTATTTGATTAACTTAGGAAAAAGTTGTTTGGTGGGCATGAACTTACAAGAAGAGGAATTTCTTAGTATAGTAGAGTTCTTAGGTTATGAAGTTAAGATTTTGCCTTTGGAGTATCTAGGCCTCTCCTTGGGTGAAAACCCAAGATCTGAGAGTTTTTGGAAGCCTGTGCTAGATAAATTCACTAAAATTTCTCACTCTAGAAGAGGAATTACATTTTTAGGTGAAAAAATTACTTTGATCAAAGCAACCTTGGCCGACCTACCTATCTACTTTTTGTCCACTTTTCATATACCCATTAAAATTGTTGGATAGATAGAAAAGCTAATATAGGATTTTTTGTGAGAATCGAGGAATAGAAAGAAAAATCACTTGGTGAAATGGGAATAGGTTAGTAGGCCCAAAGAAAAGGGTGGGTTTGGATTAGGCAATTTACTCCAAAAGAACTTAGCTCTTCTAGGAAAGTGGCCATGGAGATTTTACTTAAAAATAAATAGGCTCTAGCACAAAGTGATTGAAAGAATAAATGGTCAGTTACACAATATTTAAGATGCAAAGGTAGCCCCCAATGCAAATTCCTTTTCCCTTGGAAAGTAATCTATGAGGTATATCCTTTCTTTATTAATCTCATTGGGTATGATGTGAGCGGTAGGTTAAGAGTATTGTTTTAGGAGGACCTTTGGATGGGTATTCAACCACTAAAGGTCCAATTTCCACACTTTATGCATTTTCCAATTATAAATGTGAATCCATTTCCAAGTTTGTGAATCTCTCTACCTTGGGGTTAAATTGGGATTTTGGTTTTAGAAGAGAACTTGGGGAAATGGAGTGTAAATCTCTTGTCCTTCTTTTGACCAAACTTGACTCTATCTTTTTGGATCAAAATGTAGAGGACAACACATTGTGGTCCATTTCCTTAAATGCATCTTTTACTTGCGCTTCCTTCTTTAATTTCTTAATTCAGCCTTTTACCTCAAGGTGAATTTCTAGTAAAGTTTAGAGTAAGCCAATCACTCCTAAAATTCAAGCCCTTTGGTAGGAAGTTTTACTTGGAAAGATTAATACCAATGACATGCTGTAAAAAAGAAGGCCAAATATGTGCCTTTCTCCTTATATGTGCTTTCTAAACAAAAGCAATGGTGAAACTATTTCCCACATCTTTTTATCCTGTCATTTTATACTTTGTATTTAGGCCCCATTCGCTTTTTGGTAATTTACTTACCTACGTAAATCCAATTACCTGGGTAAGTGCATTTACCCATGCTCTTTTATTTCTCATGTAAACAAGGCAATGACCATTTTAGCCATAAAAATCTATTATTAAAAGGGACATTTTTGTCCCATTCAAGTGTTGGCAACTTCCCCCTAGGTGGGAAGGTTATTTACCCACCTAGGAGATAGGTATCACTTACCCGGGAAAATAAACTTTCCCTAGTCCCAACATAAATCTGAAAAAAGAGCATGGGATTCTTGGTCAATGGGAATCAAAATCCCATTGACCAACTTTCCCCCATCTCAAAATTTGAAAAAAGAACGCCCCCTTAGGAACAAATTTGTTCTCTCTTTGGGTTTAAGTGGATTTCTCTTCAGGATGTGGTGGGTCTCTTTGATTCAAACTTCTTGAGACAAGTAAAGAAAAGAGGAAGGTTGATGCGGAATGCAATTATAGCTACCTTAATATATATGGATTGTTTAGGAAGAAAGAAATGATATATTTAATGAAAAAGAGTTGGACATAATTAAAATTCTTAGAAATAGTAAAAATAAAAGCATCACATTGGTTAAAGTCCATAGAGGACTTTCAAAATTTCTCACTAAATGAGATACTGAGAAAATTGAAGGAAGTGGCACTGTCAATTCAAAACAAGGGAAAAACAATGATATAGTGGAGACAACCAGCAACCAACTTTATGAAACTTAATTTTGATTGCAGTTATATAGGTAATCAGGAACTGACTGGGATGGGAATGGTTTTCTGATATTTAGAAGGGAAGGTGATGGTGATGCATTGACAGTAGAGTTGTTTGCTCTACTCTAAAGATTAAATTTTGCTAAGCAATTTGGATTTCATAACTTAGAGGTGGAAGGGGATTCACAAGTGGTTATTTCGTGGACAAGTAGTACCCAAATATAGGCCTGTCAACGAGTTAGTTCTGGGTCGGAATTAGGTGAACCGGTCCCGGAACTGACCCAAACCCTATAGGGTCTATAATATTGGACCCAGAACCAAACCAATCGATTCTTGGGACAATCGAGTCCAACCCAATGGACCCGATTATAATAAGCGGGACAATAACACCTTTGCTAAAAATACAATGAAAACCCTACTAAAAGGCTACAAAAATTTGAAATTTAGAGAAATGGCGGAGAGAGAATGAAAATATATACCTCTAACTCTTAGTGAGGAGAATGGTGAGGCTCGTGATGACAGGGATGGCAGATGGGCTGGATGGCATTGCTAGTGGCCAAGGTTCTAAATATTGATACAGGCTGATCCGCCTATGTTTTATTTATTTATTTTTCAAAACTAGTTTAGAGGGGTTCGTTCAAGTCCCAGCTACCCTCTGAACCATGGCCTAACCTGATACACCCCCTGTAGGGGCGTATCGAGAAGGCCCCGATACGATATGTAACGATATTTTGAACCTTGCTAATAGCCTCTTTTTCTCTGTTCGGTGTTGGCCTTGATTTTAATAGTTCCAATGTCCCATGCTTCACAGTTGATAGTTCACTGTTTGTTTGGCCTCGGTGACGATGGTCGACAATCGGGGACGGCAGTCGGCATCGGGTTTTGAGAACAAATGATCGAAGTGTTTGAGAAGAAACAATTGAAGTTAACTATGTCTTTCTGAGAGAGTGTATGTCTCTCTATGTGAGAACTAAGAAGAAACAGTTAGATAGAACAAAGGGGAGAAAGAGCCGAAGGGGGGAATGTCATTTCAGTAGGGCTTTTAATGAAAATCCTACCAAAATGACTATTTTAGACATGATTTGTTTAAATATTACCTCTATATAATTTATTAATTAATAATTATTATACATTATATATTTAACAATACATAGGGTCGGCTCAAGACATGGTGGACCCAGTTCCGACCCGATAATAACCAGGAAAATATATGAGGAACCGGAACCGACCCATCGTGACAAGTTCTGGAACCAAAACCGGTCTAGTCGGTTTGGGTCCCTCGGGTCCATTGGATCGGACCCCACCCATTGACAGCCCTACCCAAATACTATGGATTTACAGGCATACCATCCATGAAATAGAAAGCTTAACAAGGGAGATAGAATTGATGCACAAGTTCATCAATTAGAAATACTCTTAGGTGTGTTAAGTTGGTTTGAAGTAATTCCTAGGGACGATAAAATTCAAGTGCTCTAATTTGTTGATGACACTTTATGCTTCATTGATGCACAAGTTTATCAATTAGAAATACTCTAAGGGGGCATTCTTTTTCTGGATTTTGAGAGGGGGAAAGTTGGTCAATGGGAATCAAAATCCCATGTTCTTTTTTCAGATTTATGTGGGGACTAGGGAAAGTTTATTTTCCTGGGTATACCCATTTCCTAGGTGGGTAAATAACTTTCCCACCTTGGGGGAAAGTTGTCAACACTTGAGCGGGAAAAAAATGCCCCTTGTAATAATGGATGCTTATGGATAAAATGGTCATTACCTTATTTACATGAGAATAAAAGAACATGGGTAAATGCACTTACCTGAGTAAATCTTTCTTGGGAAACAATTACCTGGGTAAGTGCATTTACCCAGGCAAATAACTTACCGAAATGTGAACGGGGCCTAAGTGTGTTAAGTTGTTTTGAAGTAGTTCCTAGGGATGATAAAATTCAAGTGCTCCAATTTGTTGATAACACTTTATGCTTCATTGATACACAAGTTCATCAATTAAAAATACTCTTAAGTGTGTTAAGTTGGTTTGAACTGAACACTTTGAAGAAGTTACAGGCCTAAAGGTTAATTGGAGAAAAAGTAGCTTAATCCCTATGGGGAATGTAGAGAAACTTGCTTTCGTTGGGGACCAAGTGTACTTCAAATCTAATTTGTGAACCAATTTTGGAGTGGCTGGAAAAGAAACTTACTTCCTAAAAGGCTAAAGACCTATCTCTAGGAGGCATGACCATGCCTTTGAAAAGTTCCTTATCCAACCTTCCCACCTACCTATCTCTTTTTCCCATTCCGTGGAAAATGGCACAAAAATGCAAAGAGATTTCTTATGAAAGGACTGGGGGAGGAGAAGAAGATTCATCTCGATAGTTGGGATTAAATTTGTGCTCCAGTGGAAAAAGGTGGTTTGGAGGTGAGGAAACTGAAGGTGTTCGACTCAGCTCTATTTGGAAAGCGGATTTGGAGGTTTGAGGTGGAGAGGATTAGTAACTACAAAATATGGTACGAATAGAGGAGATTGGATTACTTCTTCATTGCCCACTTTAGGCTGTTCAATTTATCCTCTTGATCTTCTATAGAGGATTGAGTCCTAAGTTGGGTAATAGAAATAAATTGGCCTTGTGAAAAGACCTTTGGTGCTGCAACAGTAACACTTCCTTCAATTGTTTCATCTTGCAAAGAATCAAGAAGCGGTGGTGGATGATTGCCTTAAGTTATTTTGGGGAGTTCATTGTGTGGAACCCTACCTTTAGGAGGAATTTTCATGATTGGTTGATTGGCAGCCTAGCTGAGTTGCATGAATTAGTCTCAGTTCAGGAACTTGACAGCAATAGAGAAGACAATTGGCATTGAAACTAGGAAGCAGATGGTTTGTTCTCCATGCAATCTTTTCCCTCAAATTATCTAAGAGCAATCTTAGGGAGGTCCCAACAACTAAAATCTGGAAACCCTCCTCCTATCTAAAGTGAATGCAATGGTTTAGGTGGCTGCTCTAAACAAGTTGTTAAGTTGGGCCGATTTCTAGTTATTGGACCCATATATTTATTTCTTATTTTTAAGTTGTTAAGTTAGGAAGTTGTTGTGCTTTAGGCCCATTAATTTATGTTTTTTAAGTTGTAACAACTATTCAACTACTTAAATAGCCTCCCTACTAAGGGCATTCTTGTAATCTCTTATTCTTTTAAGTTAAGTATATAATACAAAGAGAGGTTGGCGACCAGAACTAATTCAATTCTAGTTGACATCCTACTCCTTTTCTTCGCTACAACTGAAACTCTTCATCTTCTTCTTTCTCTTGACAAGGAATTTATCTAAAACTGTAATCGGTGATTTCTACTTGGTATCAGAGTAGGCCGGAGGTTCCTTGAGTTATTCTATCATGCAACCCTAGATCGGCCGACTGAATGGTGATTTAAGGGGCTGATCAAAGATCTCAGGTAAGCCCAGTTTTTGGATTTTTTTAGTGGATCTGTTTTTTCCTGTAGCTGGTCTAGGGTTTCCCATCAAAATCAGGAAAACCTAGAGAAAAAGGGAGAGCCCTGTTTCTATTGGACTCTTTAATTTTGACCTAAGAAGTGGTGCCCTGATTTTTTAGGGTTCCTTGGAGTTTTCTGAGGGGGGCGGTTCAAGTCCTACCTATTTTAGAGGTTTGAGGGAGTGACTGCCTCTTCTCTCTCTTGTCTTGTCCCATAAAAAAGGAATCTTTTGTAGGATGACCATCTAGGGCACCAGAAGGGTGTTGTTGGTACCAAAAGTGATATATTTGATAATCTTGCATATTACAATAACCTTCTACCCCCTTTTTGATAATTATAGAGGGTAGGGAGTTGAAAACAAGCCTTGAAGTGAAATTGAACCAATGAGAAAAGGTACCGGAGACCTTTTCGGGACTGAAACCATAACTACAGTTAAGTTTGATGGTTCAAATTACATAGAATGGTCACAATCTGCAAAGATGGCCATTGGTGCTCATGGGAAGTTAGGGTATATCACTGGTGAAGAAGTGAAACTCGAAACTAACAACTCCTGGTGAGTATAGGAAAACTATATGGTGATGACTTGGCTATATAATTCGATGCTGTCCCATATAAGTAATTTTTTTTTTGTGGCAAATACAGTTAAGGAAATATAGGATGGGGTTGCAGAAACCTATTCACAGAGGGAGAATGTTGCTAGGACTTATCAGTTGAGAAATCATATTAATTCTACAAGGCGGGGAGATAGACCTATTTCTGTTTACTTTTCAGCCCTTAAAACCCTGTGGCAGGAGATTGACCATCTGGAGACATCACATTCTTTCCAGGGATAGTGTTACTCCCTCCCAGGCATATGTCTTTGTATCAGGGGAAGAGAGCAGGAGAATAATGATGAAAAATTCTGGTTTTGATCAATCTACCATGGTTAGCACTGTGAGACCTAAACAAAGTGGAGACCGGAGTGGCAGTGAAATCAAGAAGGAAGACAAAAATGATTTGATTTGTGACAATTGTAAGAAGCCTAAACACACAAGAGATATTTGTTGGAAGCTTCATCCTCATCTGGTGTCGAATAGACTCAAAAACAAGAAGGGAAATGCTCACATGGTAGTCACTGGTGACATACCGGCCCCTCCCACTACAACTACTATAGAGTTTGTTGCACTTGTTGCAGTGAAGGTCGAACTTGAGATATATGGGCAGTTCTTGAATCAGCGGGATACAATTAGTTCTAATTCAGTAACAGGTGGACAGCCAGGATAGGTGGTTATAGTAAAGCACACTCTACTTCCTTTGCTCACACAGGTAGTTCACATGCCACTACAAATTACGTTTCTACTACAGGTAAGGAGGGACCTCCTTGGATTATAGATTCTGGAGCCTCAGAGCACATGACCCATAGTTCCACTATCTTTTCCTCTTACCATCTCTGTTCTGGCAGAGACAGAGTCTGCACAGCTGAGAATCTCATGTTTCCATTGCTAGGAAGGGGTCTGTCAAGATTAATGACATCATTTCCCTTACCTCTGACGAAAGCATGAAAATGCATATCTAAAGTGTGATCAACAATTGACATTTGTAAAATAAAGAGCTTAAAAGTAATATTTTTCCAAGAAACCCAAACCCAAGTTCCATGACCCAAGTATGGGTGCTGATTCGTTTCCCGCTTTACTCTGAACAGGGTCCAGTATTTTGGGCATATATTTCTGTACAAATGTGGAAATTCGATGATTCTTCAGGCTATGGATAGTTAAGAGACAGAGCTACAATTTCTTTGTTGATAACTTCCTCTAAATAAATCTCTATATAGGCGAAAATTAGGGGATACAACGCGGATCCAGACTGAGCAGATTGAGGAGCCTGGCAACACAATAAAAAGGAAAAATCTGACCAAAAAGGGGGACGACTTTCAAAGGTTATTTGGCATTATTTTCTCTGTCTTTCATAGAGGAAAAGAGGGGAGAATGACGTCCAAGCACGGCTAAAGCTTCAACAAGGATAGGGAGGATCTTGATTGATGAGTTTTACTTGTTATTTTACTTCGATTCCTTGAGAGATTTCAATGTTTAATTTTATTCTTGAGAGATTTCTTTTATTATTTTGATAAACCTTGAAGTTATATTCTTTAATTTCAATATAAGATTAGTCATGCTTTTTTTATGTGCAATTTGTTAGAAAATAATTCATTGGGTAGATTTATTTTATGAGTTGATCCTTGACGGCAATACTGTCAATCTGATATATTGTCGTTCTTGGGTAGTTTGTAAAAACAAATCATTCTGTTCTTTATCGAAAATTAATTCTCTCAAAACAAATACTTTTGTTTTTGTTGTTGGCTTCAAAGTTGTATTTTCCGATTGTTTGTTTGGGATGTGAAACTTGCAATTGAGTGATAAATAGGAATCAAAGTCGAGACTAGTTAAAGGAATCGATCAAGTGAATCTTGAAACTTTGTTCATCACAATACTAATTTTCATCCTTTAATCATCGGTACTTTTATTCAAATATTTTTGCTCTTCTTTTTATTTTTAAAAATCATTTCTCTAGGTTATTCATTCTTAGTGATAACTCCTTTTGTTGGTTTAATCAAATTCTCTGTGGATTCAACACCTAAAGCTATACTTCAACGATCGCTTAGGCAAGGGTAATAATTTTGAGTGAGATACAAAATTTAGTGCCTTTGACGGGGAAGCCAAACCAACAACTGAGTTTGAACATTTTTTACCTCTTTTATTTCTTCTGTTCGTTTCATTTTCTTTAGTTGCATTTTATTTTCTTGATTTTATTTTCCTTTTCTTCATTTTGTAAGCTAAAAAAATAAAAATAAATAAAAAAATAGGAGCCTAGGGTGTATAAATAGACCAAGGGACAAAAGAGAGAGATTTGCTAGACAAATACGAATAGACCCACTACCACTCCCTGAAGAAGTAGCATTTAGTTCATCCTTTGCTTTTGAAACCATGAGTCAACACGAGGATAATCCTGTTAGGTCTTTAAAAGACTATCTACACCCCACCCGGACAGCCACACCATCATGCATCATGTTCCCTTCGAATACACCACAATTTGAGTTCAAACCTGGAATGATCCAACTCTTGCCTAATTTCCATGGTTTAGACAGTGAGAATCCATATGTGCACATTAGGAAATTTGAAGAGGTAGTAGCCACCTTTCATAACTGAGTTGATATTGCAGACATTGTTAGGCTGAAAATTTTCCCTTTTTCCCTGAAAAAGAGAGCTAAGAATTGGCTATACTCTTTGAGACTGAGATCCATAGGTACATGGGCGGAGATGACCCAAGTTTTTTTTTAACAAATAATTTTTGCACCATAAGACCAACAACCTTAAGAGACAGATCTCAACATTTTCTCAAAGGGATAGTGAAACCTTATACCAAGCTTGGGAGAGATTCAAAGAACTACAGAACCTGTGTCCGCACCATGGGTATGAAAGTTGGAGGTTAGTCATCTATTTTTATGAGGGTTTAACTAACAGGGAGCGCCAATTCATAGAGATGATGTGTAATGGGGGGTTTTTGCAAAAGGATCATGAAGAAGCCATAGATTACCTGAATGAGTTAGCTAAGAAAGCCCACACGTGAACTGGACCTAGTTCTATTGATTATACTAATAAGTCACGTCCAACTGGGATTTACCATCTTAAGGAGGAAGACAACCTCAAAGCCCAATTAGAAGTTATAACAAGGGAACTTGAGGCCTTAAAGATGAGAAATAATAAAGTCACCCACATGGTTGCTAGTGTAGAAACTCAAACTTTATGTTTTGTTTGTGGGGGATTTAGCTCAGGATTGCCCAACCTATGATGATATGAGAGAGGTTTATGAAGAACAACGTAATGCCTTAGGAATGTATAAGAAACCTTTTCTCACCCTATTCAGATACCTATAACCCTACCTGGAGGAACCATCTCAATTTTAGTTGGAAGGTTGATCAGAACCAACCTACATCATCCAACAATAATTGGAGTATAGAGGCGCAACCATCTAGATTTCATCCTGCACCTCAATACAATGCTCATCCAAATAGGAATCCTTTAGAGGAAACACTTCAAGCATTTATGGAGGCACAAAATAAGACTAACCAAAAGTTTGAATCTGTTCTTGCGTAGGTGGTTGAAGAGAACAAGGATATCAAGAGTCAAATAACTAAGCTTACCAATGCTCTTGTTATACAAGAAAGAGGCAAAATTCCATCTCAGCCTCAGACCAATCCGAAGGGGTCACATATGGTACAGGAATCCACCTCTGATTCGAAGAACATTATGGGGGTCCACGCCATCACTACTCGTAGTGGTAAGGTTTTAGATGGGCCTTTGCCAAGCCCCTCTCGCACAAATGTCACCACTTCAAGAAGAACTGAAGATGCCCCCTCAAAACAGCTAGAAAAGGAGGCTACAATCCAAGTGCCCTTTCCCCAAGCTCTCAGATCTAGAGGAAAAAATTTAGACAACCAATGTGAGATTTTGGAACATTTGAAAGAAATTAAGATTAATCTACCTTTGTTGCATGTGATTAAGTAGGTACTAGCTTATGCCAAGGTGATCAATGATCTATGTACCATGAAAATGAGACACCATGTCAAGAAAATTGCATTTCTGACAGAACAGGTAAGTGCAGTGATTGAGCAGAGAACATTGCCGAAGTACAAAGATCCAGGGTGCCCCACAATTGACTGCCATATTGGGACACAAGAGTTCAGTCAAGCTCTCTTGGACTTAGGAGCAAGTGTAAATTTAATGCCTTATTTGGTTTACTTGCAATTAGGTCTTGGAGAGATAAAATCCATGTCTGTGGTGTTACAGCTAGCTAACCGTTATATTCGGAAATCGAGGGAGATAGTAGAAGATGTTTTGCTTCAGATTGATAAATTCTATTATCCTGTTGATTTTTTGGTTTTAGATACTCAATCTGTGATTGACAGTGAGTCAAAGATTCTGCTTATTTTAAGAAGGCCATTCCTTGCTACAGCCAATGCTCTTATCAATTGTAGGAATGGTTTGATGGATCTTTCATTTGGGAATATGACTCTTGAGGTGAATATTTTTCATGTTGGAATCACCAAGACGAGGACGAGTGCTATCATACCTACATGATAGACTCTCTTATTGCAGAGGAAGTAGAAAAAAGGGAAAATTCTGAATCTTTAGAATATCTCCTCTATAATTATGATTTGAATTCTAAATTTTTGTTTTATCCTATTAATGATGTCTCTAATGCTTCCTCTATTTCTAATGACATGTAGGATAATCAAAAAAAGTTTTGGCAACTACGCTTTGAAGAGTTGCCGTGTGAAAGAGAACAGCCGACGCCATCTTCTATGGAAACACCAAAAATAGAGTTATCCCCACTTCCTAAAGGATTGAAACATGCATTTTTTGGACCAAGTATTGTTTTGGGACATATCATGTCTGTAAGGGGAGAGTTCTCCGAGTTAATAGACAACGGTTGAAGCATTATGTGGAGAGGGTAAACCAACATGAGAAGATCAGTCTTGTAACTCTGGTTTACAATGCTTAATCAGGTTCTATCTTTCTGCACTACCATTTTTGTTTTATTAGTTTTTTTATGTTTCCTTCTTCTAGTTGATTAATTTGTAAGTCTGGTCTCAGTCCATTGCTCAGGTGTCTCCTATCCTTTGCTTTGTTATTTCTTTTATTTTTTTCCAGTGAGGACACTGTATCATTCAGGTTGGGAGTGGTAGCATTGCATGCACATAATATGCATACTTTTTATATACATTCTTGTGTAAAAGAGAGACAACCAGCACTTTACTTATTGTTTTTGTTCTGGTAGTTTTTGTGTGAATAAGTTTGCATTGCATGCTTGAGAAGCTTAGATTGGACTTTCTGCTTTTCTATCTAGGTATAATTTCAAAATTGTTTGGTTTAAGTCACTTTTTCTATCTTAATTATCAAAGAATAACTTTTGAAAACTTTTTGCGCACAATACTAAGCTTTGTGGTTTGATGGATGTTCAATATATATATATCTAAGAGAATTGTCATGTTTAAGTGCACATTTATCTAGACTCACACCTTTTATGAGTGAACGGAGAGTTGAGGAAACAAATTATGAACTTTCATTGATCTGTTGAATTGGTTAGTTGTTGTTTAGAATGACATTACATGGTTTGAGGAATGTTTGGATGATAAGCTGAATGATGAAATTAGTCAATTTTCAAAAAAAAAAAGAAAAAAAAAAAGAGAGGGGGAGCTAGTTCGTGTTATGTTACGTGAAGCCTTTGGAATAACATGTGTAATATTAGTTATGTGAGAAACTCTACACTTTCCCTATTTTGCATTATCAAAAAAAAAGAAAAGAGAAAAAGAAAAGAAAAAAGAAAGAAAAAAGAAAGAGAAAAAAAAATTTGAAGGAGAAGACTCAGTACAATAAAGTCTTTCGTCAATTCAAAAGAAAACTTCTTATCTTGGGAAATAGTCTTTCTCACTAGGCTCGATTTTTATTTGTATTGCTCTCGTATTTGATTGATCGAAATCCTAAAACTGGTTTGTGGTGTAAGAATGGTGGAGTTCTAAACATCTAACTTTCCTATTTTCTAATTAGTGATCGTTTGTTTGTTATTCGTAAATTTGCATTTTCCTTGAGTGATTATCTGATTTCCAACTCCATGAGAGAAATACCTTGTCTCAAAATAGCTTACCTGTGAGGATATGGAGTTGAGGCTTTTACTTTGATTAATTCTCAAGGCTATATGTGTTGTGGTGTGTGGTATGAAGGTTTTGCTTAGTTCACACACATTCAATTTTGGAAGTTATAATTGAAGTAATTTTGATAGCATTGGTGATCTTTTTCCGACCTTTTTGTTTGAAATGCGTAAGTGGTTTTGCTGGATTTTTGTTTAAGCTAATCATTATTCTTTGTCTTTTTATTTGCGTTTAAATTGTTAGGGACTAGAAATAAGCTAGTTGGTGGTTGTGATGAAAGCATGAAAATGTATATTTAAAGTGTGCTCTGCAATTGACATTTATAAAATAAAGAGCTTAAAAGTAATATTTTTTCATAATAATTTTATAAATGTTAATTTTATTATTTGTGCAATTTTTATGCTGAATGAATTAATAATTGAATGGAGAAAAGCCCAAACATAGGTCCAAGAAATCTAAACCTAAGTTCCATGACCCAAGTATGAGTATTGATTCGTTTCCCGCTTTACTCTGAATAAGGTCTGGTATTTTGGGCATATCTTTCTCTACAAATGTCAAAATTCGATAATTCTTAAGGCTATGGATAGCTAAGAGATAGAACTACAACTTATCTGTTGATAACTTCTCTAAATCAATCTCTATCCAGGCGAAAATTGGGGGATAAGACATGGATCCGGGCTGAGTAGATTGAGGAGCCTGGCAACACAATAAAAAGGAAAAATCTGACCAAAAAGGGGGACAACTTTCAAAGGTTATTTGGCATTATTTTCTCAGTTTTTCACAGAGGAGAAGAGGGGAGAAAGATGTCTAAGCATGGCTAAAGCTTTAACAAGGCTAGAGAGGATCTTGATCGATGGGTTTTACTTGTTATTTTACTTTGATTTCTTGAGAGATTTCTTTTATTATTTTGATAAACCCTGAAGTTATATTTTTCAATTTCAATATAAGATTAGTCATGCTCTTTTTATGTGCAATTTGTTCGAAAATAATTGATTTGGTAGATTTATTTTATGAGTTGATCATTGACTGCAATACTGTCAATCTGATATATTGTCGTTCTTGGGTAGCTTGTAAGAATAGATCATTTTGTTCTTTATCGAAAATTAATTCTCTCAGAACAAATACTTTTGTTCTTATCGTTGGCTTCAAAGTTATATTTTCCGATTGTTTGTTTGGGATGTGAAACTTGCAATTGAGTGGTAAATAAGAATCAAAGTCGAGACTAGTTAAAGCAAATCGATCAAATGAATCTCAAAACCTTGTTCATCACAATACTACTTTTCATTCTTTAACCATCATTACTTTTATTCAAATATTTTGCTCTTCTTTTTATTTTTAGAAAATTATTTGTCTAGGTTATTCACTCTTAGTGATAACTCCTTTTCTTAGTTTAATCAGCTTCTCTATGGATTTGACACTTAAAGCTACGCTTCAACGACATCTTAGCCAAGGGTAATAATTTTGGGCGAGACACCATCTATCCTGCATGTTCCCAAATTGAGTAATAGTCTGTTATCTGTTAGTAGTTTGACTAAGAACCTGAACTGTTCAGTAATTTATTCTCCTAATCATTGTATTTTGCAAGATTTGGATTCAAAAATGACGATTGGGAGTGGTCGTGAAGTGAACAGAATCTACCTCTTGGATGTGCTTCCTCCTCATCAAGGTCATTATGTCATCAGGGATAGTGAGTCAGGGTCTGTGAGTCAGATTATGCTTTGGCATAATCGTTTAGGTCATTTGTCTTTTTCTTCTTTGAGTTTCTTATTTTCAAAGCTTTTTGAATCCGTTAATTTGTCAAGTCTAGAGTGTGAAAGTTGTCAACTTGAAAAACATTGTAAACATTCCTTTAAAGTTAGTAATAAAAGATGTCCATCTCCTTTTGATGTTATTCATTTTGATGTGTGGGGACCTTATCATGTTCCTTCTGTGGGTGGTGATCGATATTTTCTCTTTTTTGTAGATGATTTTTCTTGATATTCTTGGATTTACTTAATGAGATCCCGAGATGAGGTACCATCCTTGGTATGGCAATTTCATCAGGTGGTGCTAATACAATTTGGAATACGAATAAAGGTGTTCGGATCAGACAATGTTAGGAAATATTTTGAAAAACATCTTGCTTCGTATCTGTTAGAATATGGTGTTGTCCATCCGAGTAGTTGTACCTACAGTCCACAATAGAATAGTGTTGCAGAGAGGAAGAACAGGCACATTATTGAGATTGCAAGAAGCATGATCACATTTACAGTTCCAATTCGCTTTTGGGGTGATGCAGTTCTCACAATAGTCTTTTTGATTAACAGAGTGCCCTCCCATATACTTAGATGTTCCATATTCCTCTCAAAGTATTTGGGTGTTTTTGCTTTGCACATATTCTTGGTCCTCATCGTTCAAAACTTTATCCGAAGGCAAAGAAGTGTGTCTTCCTTGGATATGTAGAAAATCAGAAAGGGTACTGCTGCTATGATCTAGTCTCTAGGAGTCGGTATGTTACTATGGATGTCACCTTTTTTGAGTCCACATCCTTCTTCTCGAAGAATCCTTCTCATGAGAATGTTTTGGGGAGGTGAGTGAGCAGTCTATCCCTCTTCCGATTCTAGTTCATGTGTCCACTCCAGTGTCTAATCCTCCTATGCCACCTACCTTACCACCTCCCTTGCATCCTGCTTCTCAGTGCTACTCATGACAAAGACTTCACAGGGAAGTTGGTTCAACTGCAGCAGAACTCACATCACTTCCTATCGGTTTCTTGGAGACTCCAGATTCAGCTGACACGGATTTAGGTATTCCTCTTGATCCCTCTATTGTTTCAGTTCCCATTGATTATACTAATCCCATTACAAATAACCCGGACCTTCCTATTGCTCTCAAAAAAGGAAAGAGAAAGTGTACTCATTGTATTTCATAGTATTTATCCTACAGTGGACTTTCTCCTTCCTACCGTGCTTTCTTTTCCTCTCCTGATTATGTCTATACACAAGGGTGTTAGTGAAGCTCTCTCTAAACCTGAGTGGAAGACATCTATGCAGGAAGAGATGGAAGCCTTAATTAAAGATAAAAAATGGGAGATTGTAAACTTACGTGAGGGCAATGAGACTATTGGATGCAAATGGGTTTACATAGTCAAATATAAGGCAGATGGAAGTATAGAAAAGTATAAGGCCAGACTTATTACAAAAGGGGACACACAGACCTATGGCATTAATTACTTAGAGACCTTTGCACTGGTTGCAAAGATGATTTCTATTTTGATACTTCTTTCTCTTATTGCCACATACTTATGGCCCCTATTTCAACTTGATGTGAAGAATAATTTCCTAAATGGAAATCTGTAAGAGGAAGTGTATATGAATCTTCCTGCTAATTTGAAAGGAAAAGGTATGCAGACTTAAGAAGTCACTTTATGGTTTAAAGCAGTCACCCAGAGCATGGTTTGATAGGTTTAGGAAGACCTTGATTTCTTTTGGCTACTCTCAAACTCAATCCGACCATACCTTGTTTGTGAAGCGGCGGGGATCCATGGTGTTAGTACTAATTGTTTATGTGGATGATATTGTTGTCACATAGAATTACCTAAGTGAGATTGACAGTCTGAAAAAGAATCTACACAGGGAATTTGAAATTAAGGATCTTAGAGAGCTTAAGTACTTCTTGGGCATTGAAGTTGCAAGATCAAAACATAAAATTTTTATTTCTTAGTGGAAGTATGTTTTGGATCTTCTACAAGAAACAAGGAAGCTTAGGACAAAGGCAGTCAGTACTCCTATTGATTAGAATAACAGAATTAATGCATCAGAAGGTGAATTGGTAAAGGACATTGGGAGATATCAGACTTGTGGGGTGGTTGTTGTATTTGTTTATGGCAAGACCAGACATCTCCTATGCAGTGAGTGTGGTGAGTCAATACATGCATGCCCCACGAGTCCAACATTGGGAGGCTGTTGACATGATTCTTGCTCATCTGAAGGAACATCCAAGTAGAAGCATACTATTTACTAATCATGGATAGTTGAACCTAGAGGCTTATACAGATGTTGATTGGACAGGATGCTTTGATGACAGGAGATCTACTTCAGGAGTCTACACCCTTGTTGGGGATAACCTAGTCTCGTGGAAAAGTAAGAAACAAACAGTGGTGGCAAGATCAAGTGCAGAAGTAGAATACAGGGCCTTGGCACATGGACTTTCAGAACTTCTCTAGATCCGTTCCTTATTAGGAGAGATTGGTGTAAAGGCAGAAGAACCTATGATGTTGTACTGTGATAATCAGGCAGCAATTAACGTTGCCCATAACACAGTTCAGCATGACCGAACAAAGCACATTGAAGTGGATAAACACTTCATCAGAGAAAGGGTGACTTCTGGGGAAATTTGTCTCCCATACATTGCTTCTGATCTGCAGCTTGCTGATGTTCTCACAAAAGGTGTTGTAAGAAATAAGCTGGAGCATGATCTACGTAAGTTGGGAATGTGTGACATTTACTCCCAACTTGAGGGGGAGTGTTGAGTTGGACTGATTTTTAGCTATTGGGCCCAATTATTTATTTCTTATTTTTAAGTTGTGAAGTTAGGAAGTTGTTGGGCTTTAGGCCCATTAGTTTATGTTTTTTAAGTTGTAATTGTTCAGCTACTTAAGTAGCCTCCCTACTAAGGGCATTCTTATAATACCTTATTCTTTTAAGTTGAGTATATAATACAAAAAGAGGTTAGCGGCCATAACTAATTCAATTCTACTTGACATTCTACTCTTTTTATTCTCCTCTTTTTTTCTCTACTGCTGAAACTCTTCATTTTCTTCTTCTTTCTTTTCACAAGTAATTTATCTAAAACTGTGATCAGTGATTTCTACTCAAGTGTTTAACAAAATCTAATCTAACTAGAAGAGGGGTTCAGAACTTCAGATCGTTGACCAGAACTGTGTGCTTTGTGGGCAGGTTATGGAAGAAACTAATCACCTGTTTGCTCATTTACATCAAGTTTATGGGGTCATTATCTCTCTACCTTGGGGATGAACTAAGTTATATGCCCGACTCTGTTCTGGACAGTCTTTGGAGCTAGGATCTTCCTAGTCTTTCAAAGTTTGCTAGATGTACCTGGTTAGCATTCTAGCAGCAACAATTGCCACAATCTACACTGAAAGAAACAAAAGGATAAAGACCTCCAAAGATTTAGGTGAGCCGGGGCCCGTTGTACTCTTTCAAAAAAAGAGATTTTAGGACCACATCTTTTCGTGTATGCAATTTGTATGATACGAACGAAAAACATATGCTATTGAAAAACTTTAAGCAAGCAGAGACCCACGTGAATTTGAATAAATACAGTTGATTGGTTACCAATTGGTTTATGGGTTGATTGATTATTAGCATTCTAGGTAACATAACTTTGGTATAACATAGGTATGGTAATTTTTAAGCATTTTCTTTAAAAGCAAAAAATAAAATTAAGGAAAAAAGTATTGGACAAACCTCAATTCAGCCCAACCCAACCCAACTTTGTATCCTTCAAATTACATCTAATTAAAGTTTGAGTTGGGGTGTTAATGTTGTTAAATTCGTAATTAAAAAATTAAAAAGCTTAATGAATCAATATTTTATCAGTTAAACCGTCAGTCATTCAGCCCATAGGAAATGTCAAATTACTAAGACATGGATTCCACTTGTTGTCAGGCTAATTATTTGCCCTGCATGCAAAGGCAAAATTAAACTGCAATTCTGTAAATTAAAATCGAAATGCATTCACCTCTGATGGTGTGGAAATTAAGCCATGTTCATGGATAGCAAAATTTTTCTAATGGTTCTTTCCAGACAGCACATTCGGTCCATTAATACATGAATCACTATCATTGTTCACAGTGATACATCATCATAAACCACTCAAAATTGTTTCGCCTTACCATAATAGTGAACATAAATCCAAGAAACGAACGCATCTCTAATTGAGATTCATTTACTAGAATCAACTGCAACTACAGCAACATCTCTGCAATCTGTACTGCATTAAGAGCAGCTCCCTTGCGTACCTGATCACCGCAAACAAAGATATCCAACCTGTTTGGGAAATAACTTTCTTTTCAGTATGATGTGTTATGCAGTTAAAAATTTTCAAAAAAGAATTGACAAACTGTGAATGTATCTCACCCATAATTTCCATCTTGAGACAGATCTTGGCGTATCCTGCCAACTGCAACATCATCTTTGTTTGACACCTCCAATGGGGTAGGGAAATGATTAGAAGCTCGATCATCAACAATCACCACACCTGCAGCTCTCTTCAGAATATCCCTTGCAGTGTCCTGGACAGAAGTTAAAAGAAAAAAAAAATCATCATTATCTAATTCCAAGTCTTATCACAGCTATATGGGTATAAATCCTGTTTTACCATTCTGCAATGTTTAATGCCATATCCATTGCTAAATTTTGAGCACTCAAATCATTTCTTACTACTTCGACCCATGTCCTTTTTGGTCTGCCCCTAACCCTTCTCGCTCCTTCAAAAAACATAACGTTCAAATTCAAAGTATAAAGCATAGGATGCAATTAACTTGAGGAAAGAGGAGATGGTGGGTGCAGTGGGGTGATGCAGGGACATCCAGTAGACCATCTCAGATCCCATGATGAATCACATCTGAAGTATGATAGGAGTCATAGGACCCACAGATCTCTCCCTACAATCTGTTGATATGGCCAAGTCAGAATTCTCAGATACCATCCTTGGGCCAGTTGTACAGCTTGAAAAGGTGATCTAAATTTGGCTGCTTGTATAAAATTAGCGCCACAGAGAGTGAATCCCACACATCTTTGATAGGATCTTAATTGATCTGTAAAGGATCATACTTTGTTTTACTTGCTTAGATCTCTTAATTCAGTTTAATAGGGTGAGACCAGAGAATGCTGTATGTTTTCTTTTATTAGAGCTATTTTGCAAGTAGGAACCCACAGTGCAGGTTGCCTCTGTTCTGTTCTTTGATAACAATTCCCAGTAGGTGACTAATGGTTGGATAACTTATTAGTTCCTAAACTAGAATACTAACTTGAGAGTAATCCAGGGCACATCGACCCCCCCCCCAAAGACTCTTTAGGTGATGGTCAGATAACTTATTAGTTCCTACAACTGTACATTAACTTGACAGTAATCCAGGGAAACATCGATTCTCTCACTCCCTTGATTAGTAATGATGATCAAAGAGATCCTATTAAAGATGTCACAATTCATCCATATCATTCTACTGAAGCTTTTTGGTAAGGTTACTGTTTCATTCATTTCTCAGTCCTGATCTACTAAAGGCCACTACCCAATGTTGGCCCCAGCCATCTGGGGTCCTAGGAGGGGTAGACTGGGTATGGTCCTACCCAATGATCAGCTAAAGTTTTAATTCTGGGGTCGTGTTTTGGTTTGCTGAGAAAGGGCAAAACGGTAATTATCGGTGGGGGTATCTTAATTCTTGTTGAGCATGATTTAAATAGGTACTTAGAGGTTTTAGAAATTAAATCCATTAATAAAGTTTGTTGATTCAAATGCTATATACAATCCATTTCATATCAACCTTCTCTTCAGGAATTGGAGGTGTTTTTAGGGATGCTACAGGGAAAGTGGTAACTTTGATTTCTGGGCTGATCAGAGTAGGGGACTCTGCAAGAGAAGAATTATTAGCCGTACACCAAGGACTGAAACTAGCAAAGCAACAGGGTTCTAAGAATCTGGAGATTGAAGACAACTCAAATCTGGAATCTCTTGGATGAATGACAGCAGTCCAGGTGTTTGGATGTTCAGAGATATAATACGAGAAATGAAGAACATAGCAAAGGAATTAGAGGCAAATTTCAGATGGGTATAGGGGACAGTAAATAGGATGGCTGACTGTTTGGCAAAACAAGGGATGTATAGGGACCAATTGCTTTGGGCAGATCTGTAGCAGGGGCTATTTAAGTTTGAAAAGAATTTATTTTCTTTTCCTTTGTATCAGAAACACATTGTAATGTTTTTCAGCAAGTTTTAATGAATTGATTACTGACTACTGATAAAAAAAAAAAAAAAGTTAATTCCATTAATGAAGTATGTTGATTAAAAGGTTTAGGTCCGAAATGTGGTTTTTTAAATAGTAAAGTTAACAAGTATTCTAATAAATTAATGTCCTGAAAAGTGTAGTTGACAGGCAATTACACTTTGTTCCAACCTTTTCTTGAATAAATAGTATCATTTCTGAATCTATTGAAGTTCTTGCTCCTCTTATTAGGTTCAACAAATAATTATCAGCTTATTCTTCATCATTCTACTTAGATCTATTTTTCATTTCTTCCTAAGGTCAAGTTCACTGTTGCTCTACTTCTTAATCTTGGATTCGTGTGGTTCTTCTCGTTATTAATATCCTTATTGAATCACTTGGTGAAAGCACATCAAAAGGGAATAACATTGTAACAATTGGGTTTCAATTACGGACATCTACTTTGTTGAATGGAATTAATTTAGGCACTAGTGAAATAATTAAGAATGTTATACAGTTGGGAGTTGGAAGCTTTATAACATGGGGTTCAATTCTATTGTTATGAAGTAATAAAGCCCAACACATCCTTCATTAAGGGGTTTCTAGCCAACAGTTGTGGTGTTAGCCATTTAATTAAAGATTTACCAGCCAAGCTTGCAGGGGTCTTTCATAAATGTAAACACATTGATCTGAAGGACTAAAGTAAAACAATTTACAATGGAAAACCATGATTTCTTACATATCATTGCAAGTTATATAGAGGAATCATAATCAATGCAGAGTGATTGTTAATTAGGAGCATTTTAAGGTTATCACATTCACAGCAACGATGAACACCCAAAAACCTAACACCTACATAAAATCACTACAGGAATTACACAATTAGTCTACAATCAATGTTTTGAAAACTAGAGGAGGCATCAAACCAGAAAGGGGACTGGTTTGGTTTTCCTAATTTAACCCGGTGGTTCCACTTCAAGATTGTCTGAACCAGTTATGTAGGACCAACTGCTCTGGTATCAATTGAACTGAAAGGGGGCCCCTTCAGTTCAACTGGTCAGCTCGTCCAGTTGTTGAAACATTGATCACAATAATGAAATGGTTGAACATGAAAGTGAAGCTAGAAGCTCCAGATCTACTGCTCTGGTATCAAATGGTTGAACATGGGCCCCTTCCGGTTCAAATGGTCAGCTGGTCTGGTTGTTGAAACAATGATTACAATAAAATGCTTGAACATTAAGGTAGAGCTAGAAGCTCTAGACCTACAAGAAAACATATGCAACACCAAAAAGATGTTTTTGCAGAAAAATACACCAAACAAGAAACAAAGGCCACAAGAAAATAAGATATCCACACAACGTCAATGCTCAACTGCAGAGAGTATTTTGTCTCAATTCAAACCTGAGACCACTTGCCAGTGGAGGTGGTGCCACAACCACCCAGATAAGAATGGATTAGCTAGAAATAGGCACTTCAAACATTCAGAAGAGATTAGTATTAACACAAGAAAAAGGCTAAAAGGACTTGCAGTAGAATAACAATATTCAGAGTGTAAATAAGTTGTTGTCAAACACTATTAAAGTAGAATATAACATGATATAAAACAATCCCAAAATATACCGACATAGATATCATAGAATTTGTGCATTTTGAAACAATCAGAAAAGCATGCATATCCATTATTTCAAGGTTTTTAATAACATTTAAATCCAAGTATTTATATCTCCATGAATAATGGGAATTTGAAAAGCAACAGTATCCAAATTTCACAGTCTTACCTCATCAAGTGGCTTCTCAAATTGTAAATTAATGCTTTCAGCATGTGCACGCATCACAGGGACTCGAATACAAGTGGCAGTCACCTTGACATTCGGATCATTCTGAATAAAATTAAAGCAAAAGTACTTTAGGTAGATTCAATGGTCATTAGCTTCTATCATCAAGGGAATTCCAAGATGATCAAATTTTAAAGAATGCCTAAATATAATATTTAACTAAGAAAAGCATATTAGATAGGTTAGATGGTTTGTGGCTTATAAGTTCAAAAACCAAGGGAACTCCAAGGAAGAGTTAGATGACTAAATCAAAAGAATGAGAAGATTCAACCAAATGCTTACCCAAATTTTCCTGGTCTCCTTCACCATTTTCATTTCCTCTTCATTATACCCATTTGAGAGGATGGGTGCATTGTGTGAGAACAAATTAAAAGCATACTGCATAAGGTGCAGGATAAGAAGTTAGTCTCACTGATTGGATGAAACATGCATCTAACCATGCTCACTAAGATAGACAACATGTGGATGAAATAAAGACATACCTGTTGCTTAAAAATATTACAAGTTGGCCTTTTTCCCTCCAGAACCTTATATTACAAACAAACAGAAATGTTAGCTTGGCCCAGACAATAATAGCAATCAACTTTGTCCTCTGTTAAATGGTTTAAAAAGTAATGGCTGAATAATAATAAAAATAATAATAATAATAATAATAATAATAATAATAATAATAATAAGGTATAGTGAAACAGAAGAAACCTCACGTGTCTGCAGTTCAAGCTCTTCCATTGCAGCAGCACCAGCACCACTAGCTGCCTGATATGTGCTCACGACCATTCGAATTACCTACAACATTTACATAGCATACAAAGCCTTAGTGTCCATTCTGAGTGCTAAAAACTTGCAACTTCCAATACATCATTTAGTTCTTTATGATGGAGGCTTGCAAACTCTCACAATGACAAGTAATGCAAAGTTAACAAGCCACTATCATCAAATGACCACAAATATTTGAAGGAAGAAAGGACAACATGACTAGGATAGAATTGTGCCAAGTCACCATGTATCAATTGAATTTTAACCAAACAAAACTGCCTGAAGTAAACTGCTGAATCATTCAACTCTAACTATAATGGGGGTCAGATGTGGAGAAAAACCACGAAAAGCTAAACATTAAAAGTTCCTACAAAGCATTCACAAGTTCTTCCAATAATCTAGCATCATTTACCAAATATTGTTCTCTAGCGTGCTACCTCCAAATCAATGCTGAACTTAAGGAATAAAAATAATGTCACTTAACCTCTACATTATGTTCATCACTAGTTGGCTCGAAAATAAAAAGGAAAAAAAAAAATCACTACTTTCTTGTCTGAAACTTCAGGCCAATGAAAGATAAGCACAATAGGGTGCTCATAATTTAATACGAGCATCCTTGTAGAATCATCACTGATTTCTATTCTCTTCTCTCTCAAAATGAATAAGAAGGATTGGTTCAGGTACAGAAAAGAAATGGAAAAATTAAAAAGAAAAAGATTTTTTTTTTTGGAAAAGGTAAGGCAATTTATGCAGATACTGTAAAGACCCCAGGCTTGACAACCCAACCCCCTACCCACCCTTTCGAAATGAAGTACTCAATGCCAAGTCTGGAAAGAACAGACCCCAAACTAGTTCAGTCTCCTTACTCTTCTCCTAGTTAAATCATCTACCAAGTTGTTAGCAGATTTCCATATCCAATGGAAGTGAAATGTTCCTTATTGCCACTATGCTTTCACTTATCCAAGATGGTGATGAAGAAACCATGAATCCTTTCTCTATCCCTTATCCATCCAATCATAACCTGTGGATCCCTTTCCACTGCCACCGTATAGTAAACTAGTGGTTGAATCAGCAGTTAGCTCATTTGGAGAAACAACAAAGAAAATTTCATGTTCCGTTGTTACTGGTATATCTAGGCATTGCCTTATGTCCATAATAGCAGTAACTATTTATGTGTTATAGGTCCTCTCACCCTACTACGGGCAGCGCCGCACCGGCTTTTGTTATCACACTCGAGGATGTGAAAATTCTGAATGGAGGGCACTTGTTCAAGGACAAGAAGAAGCTAAATCAAGAAATTACAAACATGTTCTTTCTGATGCAGAGAGCATGGCGTGGAAGCTGAAAAATCCTACTCTCGACTGGGATTGGGTTGAACAATCTCTGAGGGAACAAGCTCTATCTTTAACAAAATGCTTTGAATCCTTTTGTATATATCATATTAATAGAGAACAGATAAAGGACTAGATGTACAAAGTTCTGCTATGCAAATATATTCTTTCTTTCGAGTTTGCAAAAAATTGAAAAAAATAAAAAATAAAAAGAAATGTACCTTTGCATGGTGATGTAGAGGCGTGGCAGCCATCAAACATATAATAGTAGAACAATTAGGATTAGAAATCAGAGCTCCCTTTCCAGACCCAAGCTTAATATGAGCCATTGCATCCGGGTTCACCTCCGGAATGACAAGTGGGACCCTCTCATCCATCCTAAATGCAGAGCTGTTATCGACGACAATGGAGCCACTATCAACTGCAATTGGTCCAAACTTTTTACTAATGGAACCTCCAGCACTGAAGAGAGCAATATCAATGCCATTGAAGCTGTCTTCAGTTAGCTCTTCAATGACATAATCTTTGTCCTCAAAAGTCAGCTTCTTTCCGGCTGAGCGCTTGCTGGCAAGCATGCGAATGTTTCGGTAAGGGAAATCTCGGTCGGAGAGGACTTGCAGGAACTCTTGGCCGACGGCGCCTGTGACGCCGACAATGGCCAGTGATGGGCCGTCTTCCTTGAGACCCATCCGCACAGTGAAGGCACCGCTTCTTCTTCTGGAAGTGGATGTGTTCACTGCGAAGCTGGTGGCACGCCCATTGAGTGGGTAGTGATATTGAGAAACAACTGCAGCCCTCATTTTTTTTTCTTTCCGGGATTCTGTGCACACTTTCACTGTAGAAACAATGCAAGATGAGATAGGGAAAGATGAAAAGAAAGCAAAAACATATCAAAATCGAACTAACGCATAAACCCCAAATTTCTTTCTTGATTTACAGATGATTAATAGGAAATACAAACTGACTCTTACCGGTAACAAGAGAAGCTCGAAGAGAACTGAGACTCAGATAAGAGTAGGTGCTCTACTGTTGTTCTTCGAGCGTTCACCGCGTAAACAAGATAGATGACGTTTTCCCGACTTGCTGAATAAACTCTGAAATCTGAACACGGTGAGATACTGAGATACCAAAGTAGGATTTATATATACATTCAAAAAGCAAAGCAAAACATAGGGCTGCAAATGGTATGCTTCGCGGGTGCCAGAAGCCTGCGGCTAAACGGGTGAAGTCTCAAGCTGGTTGTAACAGAGACCTGGTATCGAATCCCGTCACTCACTTGGGCTGGGATTAATGCCTTTAGTGTGTATTCCATTACCCAAAAGAAAAATCCATTTAAATATAAAATAGTAAAATACTTTGCAAGTTGAAGTTGGTAATATTTAAATATAAAAGTTACTTTTAAAATCAAAAATGTATCATAAAAGCTATTTGTAAAGAAAAAAAATTACTTTTGGGTTAAAAATATAGAAAAGAAAAAATACTGAAATTAATTATAGATTACAGCTCTGTAGTCTGTACAAAGGTCAAAACCGGTGTGCCGCAAGGAGAAGAGAACGATTCAAATACAGATTAGCGCTGTGTACTTCACTTAGTGATAGTGACACTTAACCCCCTAAATTTTCATTTGACACAAGAAGACCCTTCTAAACTTTAAAATTTCAGTACTTTGCCCCCTCTCCCCCATACGTTAATTATATTGACATGAAAAGTTAGACTTTATTTAGGGCTATGGGTCATTTAATAGAACATCCTATAGTTTTACAAATTTAGTTAAATCTATTCTATAGGTTTTATTTTATTAAAACACCCCTATAATTTGCAACCTATTTACTTGATCGATCTTTCATCAAGAAGTGTTTTATCTTGTCAATATGAAAATAGTAACACGATCACTTAAATTGAGTGGAAAATGTTCAAGGGCATAGATCCATGATTATTTATTCCAAAAGTTCCCTTAACAATTCTTCATATAGAAAATAAAATTGACCAAATAGAATTGTTGCTCGTGTCTTATTAGGGGTAAAAATAACCAAATAGAATGGTTGCTTGTGTCTTATTTGGGGTAAAAATGGTATTTTTATTTTTATTTTGTTTTGATTAAATTTATTCAAATGGACAATAGGATCAAAACTATCATTTTCCAATGTCATATAATTGAAAGTTGATTAAGTAAATTGATTCCAAACTATGTGGGTTCTTAGTAAAATAGAAACTATATGGTAGGTTTTAGTAAATTCGTGAAGCTATAAGGGGGTGCTTAGTAAATGACCATTATACTTCCAATGTATCAAGTACAAAGCACCTGCGATACTTCGAAGACCATTTAGGTGAAACTTAAAAAAATATATATATTTTTCAAAGTAAAAATAAATAATGGTGTTTAGATATAACACGATTACATGTACGCATGACATGTAGTATATGTATATGCTACCATATGTCATATATATGTAAATACATTAATCAAATGTCCCAATGCATCCATATATACTGTCATGTGGCACACACGTATCATTGATTACATACATGCCACCATGTATTATGTATGTGTTATTGACTTGCATTCAAATGTCACGTGATATACATTTGTCACTAATTATGCTCAAATGCCATGTATCATCCATATAGATTACCACATAGCATACATTTGTCATTATGCTCAAATTCCACATAATATTCATATATGATGTCATGTAGCATCTGAAATGCCACCACATGGCATATATATGTCATTGAATATGTTTAAATGCCATGTGACACTTATATATATTATCAGCATGGTATGATGCATAAGTACCACATGTGTGATTGATACATACATTTTAAAAAATATAAAATATGTCAAAAGGCCAAAAAGCACAAAGTATCAACAATTGATTTTTTTCGTGCTTTTACTTAGGGCTATCAAGTTTGACCCCAACCTATTTGACCCACCCAATCCACCCACTTGAAAACCTACACATACCCACCCATTTTAGTTGTGGATCAATTTGAGTCAAGTAACCCACTCGGGTCAAGAGAAAAAGGTTAAGGTGGGGTTAGGTCGAGGGTACCCATGGGTCATAAGTCAAAGATTAGGGTTCTCTTTTTCTTTTATTTTCTTTTTTGATTGTAATACTAAAAAAAATGCTAATGGCGTTAGTGGGAAAGTGGGCCGTGAGTTGTAGGAGGGGGGTTGTTTGAACTTTCTTTTATTTGGGAGACCGCTTAGCAACAAAAGGAAGAAGTGTGTTAAGAATAGAAAAGAAAACCTAAATTTTTAGCTAATGCAAGAAACTCTTTCCTCTTTTCTCTTTTCAGATGTAAGAGAAGGTGAAGACAATCCATCAATGGTGAATCAAGGTAGGGATTTATCTTAGTGATTCTTTGGCACCAAATCACTCTTAAGTAAGTCTTTTTCTCCCTTGAATTTCCTTTTTCGTTTTCTTGTATATTAAACTTAAAATTAGGATATTTTTTGAATAATCATTTTCTAGCCACTCTCTAGAAAAGAAAGTAATTCTAATAGAGATCTCATGACATTAGGATCCCAATGAATCCAACCTTGTGTCTTTTGGATTTGTGGAAGGAAAGCAAGGTTAAATTTTTGATGAAAACACAATGGACCTCAACCAACTTTAAGCCATCAGAAACTAGCATTATGGCAACATTTTTTTACCAGATTTTGGTTCTAAATTGTAGTTTTCAATGAGATATTAGGAAAGGTACCTAGAACTCCTTCTTTGGAACTTTATACTAAAAGTATGAATTTTTCAATTCGATATCCTAAATATGTTAAATCTAGGAATTCAAGAAAAATTTAGTGATCTTTGGCTAGGAGTGATGTTTAAATTGTAGTAGGTCGTGAGACCTTCATGGCGTTATGCACTTATGAAATGGATATTTGAGTTGGAAGTTAAGAATTTTAAAAGTTGGGTCCATGAATAAAATAAATATGGAAATTAATTCTGGGAATGTTGGCCGATAGCCCAAGTTACCGTAAATCAATTGTTTTGTGATATTTTCTGAATGGGAATTGATTCTAAACTGTAATATGTTGTGAGAAGCTTATGTTCAAAGAATAAATTCTTATTTTAGGTGGATGAAGTATATGTTACAGATGTCGAAATTTGGTCCTCTAAACATTTAGGCTAAAAACTGAAAATCTAGGAATCTCAAAACCTAAACTAGTAAACTACCAAGATTTAGGTAGACCAATACAATAAGCTAGAAGTTTATACATTATGAATTTAGTAATATAAATTTTAAAATTAGTTGTAACAAATTACTCATTAATTTATAGGCTTTAGGATGTACACTTATATTGGTGCTTTGGACTCTATGTGTTGAGTGACTTTTCATCTTATAGTCTTTTTCTTCTTTCTTTTTTTTTTTTTTTTTTTTTTGTTAAGACCTAAGCATGTCAATATTATGAATTTGGAATATAAATGAAATCATTTTTTGTTGACCACTGTGATACACTAATATTTGATACCTTGTTGTTTCTTAAAAGAATCAATTATTTTTTTTTTGAACTTGTTATTCTTTATTTAACTATATTACTATTCTTATGTTAAATTCATTTTGTGAAGCTCGTGTGTAGATTGATGTGTCTATTATATTATAATAATATGACTACATTTTAGACCCCACAATTGTGGATGAATACAATGACATCTTAAACTAATCCATTTTGAATTTGGGCCCTCACTACAGAGCATATACGTTGTCCCTTATCATTGGGTTGAAAGTGGTCATATTCTACTGTTGTGAAATTTTTGTGCAACTCTGAATTTGAATTTGAATATATTGACACCAATTCACGACATGTGTTCCATCTAACTTGTTATTATGATTTTGTAAACTATTGAAAAGTTGATACTTTTTTTTGAGTATGTGAATATTCTTTTTTAGGATGGGTTAAGTTATTTAAATCTGATATTGTGAATAATATGTGGTTTTTATGAATTATTTATTGTTATTAGTATTATTATTATTCTTTAGCAAGCTTGGTCCAACTACGAGATGAAATATTACTTACTGAGGGTTATACTCATTATTAGTTTATTCATGACTTGTTTGCTTTCTTTTTTATTAATGCTTTTAGATAACTAAAGAAATATTTGTGCATATTTGGAATCCCATGTAGGACCCACCTATTGGACCCGGGAGAGGGGTGCCTAACCCCTTCCCTCTCCCATCCAAGTCTTACATACCCAGACTGGTTTAGCCAATGCCTTGGGCTTTGGAGTCACTAATGAAAAACACTTTCCGATATAAATCCCAAAGGTCCCATCACCTTATTTTTATTCACTTGAAGGGTGGCAACTCCATTCCAGCCCAAGTGAGCCATTTTCCGACGCTCACAGTATAGGCATTATGAATTTCTAATGATGCCATTTAGATTAACTAATGCACCAACATTTATGGACTTGATGAATAGGGTCTTCAAACCTTTAGGGTCTTCAAACCTTTCCCATATTGATTTATTGTTGTATTTATTGATGACATCCTCGTATACTCAAAGAATAAAGGAGACCACGAAGAACATTTGAAGCAAGTATTCCAAGTTTTAAGGGAAAAGAAGCTCTATGTGAAGCTTAAGAAGTGTGAAGTTTCATTGGATAGTTTATCATTTTTAAGGCATATGATATCCAAAAATAGAGTGTCAATTGATCCAAAGAAAGTTGAAGTAATCGTGAAATGGAATAGGACAACTACTGTTGTTGAGATCCGTAGTTTCTTGGGTTTAGCTGGTTACTATAAGAGGTTTGTTGATGGTTTTTCTCACTTAGTTATGGTATTAACTCGGTTGACTCAGAAAGGGGTTTAATTTGAATGGTCAGATGATTGTGAACAAAGTTTTCAAGAGTTGAAGAAATGGTTGGTGTTTACTCCAACCGATGGTTAGTCATTTTGTCAGAAAAGTTTGCATAAGGCTTTAGGAATTCACTTAAACTTTAGCAGGACTTTTTATCCTCAAAACCGATGGTTAGTCAGAAAGAACTGCTTGGATTGTTGAGGATTTATTAAGAGCTTGTACAATTGACTTGGGTGCCTTTTGGAATGAACAACTACCTTTAGTAGAGTTTGCTTATAATAATAATAGTTACTAGGCCAACATCCAAATGGACCCATATGAGGCTTTGTATGGGAGGAAATGTAGATCACCTATTTGT